ATATTTCTCAGATTCCAACGTAAATTTAAGTTTATTGTGCATTAAAGCCGTGAAGAATTATATGGATCTGGTCAGCAGGAATCGCCAAAATCATGTCATCAACATAAATCTTCACCAGAGGAATCGGAAACGGCAATCTCTCAATGACCTTGTCGATATCATATTCCATTACCAAATATGCGAAAATGTGTCTTGCTGGATTTCCCGTTGCTGTTCCATCTTTCTGCTTATAAAAAGTTCCATTGAATAAAAAATAGCTTGTGTCAAAGCACAATTCAACCAACTCAACCAACAAACACACCAAGTAGAATATTGGTGTGTAAACTAATATGCTGCCATTCTTTGGACAAAATATTCAACACTAACTCCTTCGGTATGTTAGTGAATAGACTTACAACATCCAAACTAGCCAACACGTAATTATCCGGCAAAGTCAACCCTTTGGTGGTGTTAATTAGGTCCAGTGAGTTTTTTAAGAAGTATTTAAAAGAGGATTTTAGATTACTGAGGATTGAACCAATAAATTTAGCAATTTTGTAACTGGGAGACTGAATACAAGGAACCAAGAGACATAATTTGTTATTCTTAGGAACTTTAATTAATTAAATTTTGTAGAGTGGTTTTCGTCCAGAAATATTATAAATAAAAGGCAGGCAGTTTTCAGCTTATTTGGACTTTATTTCTAAATTTTTAAATCAAAAGCCAACGTTTCGATGCCTTCCGCATCATTCTCAAGGCTAAAAAACACAAAGAACGTTATACAGTTTGTAAAAATATGAAATTGAAATTAGAAAATTGAAATTAAAAAACTTAAGACTAATACATAAATCATTAAAAAGACCAACACAAACTCTAATTTAAAATTAACTTAAATTTATTATGTATATGCCTACAAATGAAAATAGAAAAAAATCAGTACCGAAAAACATCACGGCGAGAGTCAGTACTACAGGAACGTCTATTTCTCTTATTATGAAAAAATGGATCGTTTTTAATAAGTGCGTTTTCTAGCTCGAGTAATCTAGGTAAGGTAACTATATTATTATTAAATACATAATAAGTCAACAACGCTTAAAAATAATTATTTCTGTTCACATATATTTTAATTGGTAAATTTTAACTTGGAGTTTGTGGTGGTCTTTTCAATGATTTATGTATTAGTCTTAAGTTTTTTCTTTGTGTTTTTTAGTCTTGAGAATGATGCGGAAGGCATCGAAACGTTGGCTTTTGATTTAAAAATTAAGAAATAAAGTCGAAATAAGCTGAAAACTGCCTGGCTTTTATTTTTAATTAATTAACCCATATATTCTTGGTGGCTAAGTTGTGAATTTTGAGTTTTGCACATAAAATCGTCTATAAATTAAAAATCCCTAACTGTGGTAATCATAGTCAATCGCCAGAGAGTCGCCGTGCGCTGGGCGAAATATGGCGACTCTCTGACGGCGACTCGCTAGCGATTGAGTATGAATACCAGCCTAAGTAAGAACACTAACAGCCGTATTCATAGTCAATCGCCAGCGAGTCGCCGTATTTGGCCCAGCACACGGCGACTCACTGGCGATTGACTATGAATACGGCTGTTAGTCTATTGATGTTACTTCTAAAAAAGAATTATCACTGGTCAAAACAACATCAGCGTTTGAGTCCATAGATACGTTAGGACTCTCAGAGACTTTTTGTGCTATATTGTTATGAAGTCCCCTTTCCGGAGAAGCATTTACTCTAGGATTTTCTCTATTGTTTATTGCTCTACATGTGATATGAAATTTAGGGATGTACCGGATCGGGTATTTGGCCGATCCGGCCGGAACGGGAATTCCGGCTCCTAACCGGACCGGACCGCCGGCCGGAATTCCGGCCGGATCGACAGTTTTCTGCAATTTAATAATAATTTGAAAGGGCGCATTCTTTTTTTACCGGCGAACCTACAGATGAGCAGTCTATCTCTTTCTAGTACATAGGAAATCAAGATGACTTACTCATAATGGAGAATAGCTCGATGGAAAAAAAGATAGCTCGATGGAAAAAAAGAAAGCGGCTGAAGTTTGGTTATGTTTGAGTTTGGCTGCTCCTTCAAGTAGATTGGCGAATCCCCGAGTCTATCTGGATGTCTATTTTCAAAACCGGGGAATAGCGTTCCCATGAGAACGATTGCTCTGTCTTTGTTAGTGTTATGGAAATATGGATATGGGTGACGAAGACAGAACCTTCGTTCTCATGAGAACGTTTCTCCCCTGTCTCTAGAATAGTCCAGTGTAGTTGCAGTTGTTTTGTGTTCCTGTGTATCCAGCTAAGTTAAAAATGTCAAAAGTATGGAAGTTTTTTGAATTCCATACCTGAATTTAATGTTTATGTTTAAAAAAAATATTGTTATGGTTTACAACTTTAATTTTAATAAAGTTCTAAGTATTCTTCTTGCTTTCCGCTTATAAATTTATTATTTAACTCATTTTAAAATTTTCGAAAATTCCGGGCTATAGGCCGGATCGGCCGGATTTAGTGGTACCGCCGGAATTCCGGTACATCCCTAATATGAATGAGATTTGTGGTTTTGCTCTTTGAGGTTTTGATGATGTTTATCAGGGAATGAGACAGTTTAGAATTATTTAATTTGCTGCCCCATTTATCCAAATTATCCAAAAACATATTATGGTTTTTTACAAATCTATTTACAAAATCTATGAACTTACTAAACTTCGAGTTAAAAGATAATACCTTATGAGTAAACTTATCAACTAAAATAGGACATGATAAAAAAATTATATTAGTATGTAAACAAGATTTAATACTGTTGTTGATATGACGCACACTAGGATATTTACCGCAAGCAAGATCATTAGAACCACAGCAAATGATAACAAAGTCGTTTTCTGTAAAACCTGTCACCAAACCACTCAGATTCTCAAGAACATTCTTGTAGGATGCATTTGGCTTGGTCACGGTCAGTATGGACACATCCTCTTTGATGTATTTTCGCATTGGTCTGTTTAGGTATTTGACAGACTGATCACCTAGGATGAGAATCTTCCTAGAAGTTTTTTCCACACAAGCTTGTCGGGTTACAATTCTTGATGGTTCTTTTTGTGTTGATGCTTCATTACATATTTTTTCGAAGGTGAGCTCATTCAACTGCACTTTCAAGAGGCAGACTTCGTTGTGATAAGCCTGGTTTTCGCTCTCTAAGGCTCTAATGGAATTAATCATATTTTTGCTTATTGCATTGAGGTCTTCAAAGTCTTTTTCGAGCTTAGAATATTTTTCCTTGTAGGACTGAAGCGCGTCATTTAAAGCAGTTTCTTCCATGACGCCTCCATAATTGTTTTCTGCTTGAAGCACTCCATTCATTGTTTTCGTTCTCATTTCGAGTCTCTTGATGTGATCGTTCTTTGATCCATTTTCCAAGGATAGTCTGTCAATCTCCTGACTCAGTGATCGCTTAAGATCCTCTAAATCCATTTCCAAGTTGTTAATGTAATTGTCTTTCCGTTGTAAATCAGACCTGACTTGTTCATATTTCACCAAAAGTTGGTCAAAGTCGGAGAGCGCTTCTCTAGAGCTACTACAGAAAAAAATTATGGATGTGTTCTGTACAATGAGAGCATCAGCTTCGCTGGCAGACAGATTTGAACGGTCCTTACAATAAAAAAGATGACAGCCATCACATTCAGTTCCAAAACGTTCAGTTCCTTTAACATTAGGGCGGCGCTTAAAGATACAATCAGAAATGACAGACAGCACATTTAGATGCCATTGTTGGAGTCGAACAAAATCAACAAAATATAAATTGCGCTTTCCCAAACCCAACAATAATAATAAAAATAGCGCGGATGGTGCGAAAACTCTACAGACCAAAAATCAAGTTCAAAATTGATAAGGCAGGTATGCTGGGTATAGGTTTGTTTATATTCACCTATTGTTTGCGCATTCCGACTATTGTTCACAATAAAAATTAGGATTCGCGGCTGACGCCAGGTAATTCCGTTTTGAAATTAGGGCTACTATGTAGGTCACACTTTTGCCAAGATTTTGACACAAAACACAACTATACTGTTCATAAAGGGGCATCAAAACAATTAAAAATATGTGCGTAACATTACCCTTATCAGACCTAGTAACAAAAATTTCCGGATGATTTTTAAGATAATATCTAGCTTCCTTGAATTTATTCAAAACTGAGACCTGCAGACAATCATATTTCATAGGTGTTTGATGAAAGTTTGTTAAAATGTTGGTAGTGGCACATGTGAGTTCAACACTATCATCACGACTCTGTTGGCACATATGCTCTAAGTGTCTTTGAGTAATCTTAATAATGGGATTTCACGTTTTCAAGAGGAATACTGAATTTAGGCCCTAAACCCAAAGTCAGTCTCATGTTCTCCGGAATAACCAAATCAGTCAAATTAACTACGAAATTCTCATTTCTATTAAGCACAACTTTCTGTTGTTTGTCTGTCCAAAAGAACATTTAATTTATTGTTTTGAGTTCTTTTATAATTTTCTTTATATTTTTCTAGTCCTGAAAAAGTGTTTAATTAAAAAAGAAACATTGATGTTGCAAGAAATCCAGAGTTTTTATTCCAGTCCTAGAATCTATATTCAATAAGCATTTATTATTACCTACATATAATTAACGCTTCTAATAAATGTTGTAGAATCTCTTTTGTTGCATACGCAAGCTATTTTATGACATTGAAGAATTTTTTCAGAAGAATTTTTAGTGAGTCACATTTTTGGATTACTTCTTGATTGCTTTTCGGTTTTATAGTTTTGTTTTTGTCACACTGGATGACTCTGGTTTTGCGTTTGCATGTTATATTTCGTTCAGTTTTTCTATGAATAGTTTTATGGCTTTTCACTTTGATCTTAGATTTAAATTTGGCTTTAAATTTAACTTCGATAATAAAGTAATTTTTGATTTGATTTGGCTTATATATGTATAATGCATTAGATGCAAATTAGTAAAAAAAAATCATACCTAACACTTTTTTTTTTTTCAGCGGAAAGAGCTCTCGACACCATGAATTTTGATTTAATTAAAGGAAGGCCGATCCGTATTATGTGGTCCCAACGAGATCCTTCACTTCGTAAATCAGGTGTCGGAAACGTGTTTATCAAAAATTTGGATCGTTCCATTGATAACAAAGCCATGTATGACACTTTCTCTGCCTTTGGTAACATTTTGAGCTGTAAAGTGGCTCAGGATGAAACTGGCTCGAGCAAAGGCTATGGTTTTGTCCACTTCGAAACTGAAGAAGCGGCAAACAAATCCATTGAAAAAGTAAATGGAATGTTGCTTAACGGCAAAAAGGTTTACGTTGGCCGCTTCATTCCTCGCAAGGAAAGGGAGAAGGAACTTGGAGAAAAAGCGAAGCTATTTACTAACGTCTATGTTAAGAATTTCGGAGAGGAATTATCAGAAGAACAATTGCGTAACATGTTTGAAAAATACGGAAAGATCACGAGCTACAAGATCATGAATAAAGATGATGGAAAATCGAAAGGATTTGGGTTTGTTGCTTTTGAATGTTCGGAAGCAGCTGAGGCAGCAGTGGAAGCACTTAATGGTAATTATTGGTTGTTTTTTGTGAGAAATAGATTCCTAAAATGTATATATTTTTTTCAGGAAAAGAATCAGTTGATGGGAAACCTCTTTACGTTGGTCGTGCTCAGAAGAAAGCTGAGCGCCAACAAGAGTTAAAACGTCGCTTTGAGGCTTTAAAAATGGAAAGACTTAACCGATACCAAGGTGTTAACTTGTATGTCAAAAATTTGGATGACACAATTGACGATGAACGTTTACGTAAAGAATTCACTCCATTCGGAACAATAACTTCAGCTAAAGTAATGATGGAAGAAGGGCGTAGTAAAGGTTTTGGTTTTGTCTGCTTCTCCTCCCCTGAAGAGGCCACCAAAGCCGTTACTGAAATGAATGGACGCATAGTCGGCTCCAAACCCTTGTACGTGGCATTGGCTCAGAGGAAAGAAGACAGAAAAGCTCATTTGACATCCCAATACATGCAACGGATGGCAAATATGCGCATGCACCAAATGGGTCAATTTATTCAGCCTGGAGCATCCAGTGGATACTTCATGCCAACGATACCTGCTCCACAAAGATTTTATGCAGGTGCTCAAATGCCTCCAATCCGTACAAGCCCTAGATGGCCCTCTCAGTCACAAGTTAGACCAACTGGTCAAGGAGTTCCTGCTGCTTACCCAGGCATGACTAACCCATTCAGGGCAACTACGCGTCCTCCAAATCAAACAATGTCAATGCGTGGCAATATTAATGTTTCCAGATCAATCACTTGTCCACAGCCCACCAATATGCAGGGACGTCCCCTTCCAGGACAAAGTGTTGTTGCTTCAAACAGAACTACATTCAAGTATACCGCCAACATGCGCAATCCACCTCAGTCTATGGTACCATTGCCCAGTCAGCCGGTTCAACAAGCAGTGCACATCCAAGGTCAAGAACCACTTACTGCAACAATGTTGGCTGCTGCTCTTCCACCAGAGCAAAAGCAAATGCTGGGAGAACGTCTGTTTCCACTTATCCAACGCATGTATGCAGATTTAGCTGGAAAAATCACTGGTAAGCTTAAATTTGGAATAGGGCGGACAATTAGTACAATTTATAAGAAAATATACATTTACTTAGTTTAACCTTCTTTGTGCCTATATTTCGCAGCAAGTGTGCTACACTGGTAGAACAGCACTAGGACTATATAACAAATATAGATTTCCTCTATCTCTATTGACGTTCCTTCTCTATTGATTTCGAAAAGAGAGAAGAAGACAGCAAGCGCCATAGAGATAGAAAAAACGATCCCTATCCGTTACATAGTCCTAGTCCAGGCCATCAACCGTGAAACGCACCCTGAATATGCCTAATTCTGCCTGTTATAATAATGATGTCTTTTTCAGGTATGTTGTTGGAAATTGACAATACCGAGTTATTGCACATGTTGGAGCACAACGAGTCCCTTAAAAACAAAGTGGAGGAGGCTGTAGCTGTGTTACAAGCCCATCAAGCCAAGCAATCAGTTATCAAGAAGGACTGAGGAATCTCTAACACCAAATTGAAAATATTAAGCATTAGAAATATAATTTCAAAAAAAAATTGAAAAACATTTAATAAAGACAAAAAAAAATAAGCAAGCGAAACATACATACCACTCTCTTTTTACAAATAAAGTAACTTAGATATTACTTTTTGACGATTTTTAAAATTAAATTTCAAATTTCAATATTGTTATTCTCTTAAATATGGTTTGTACACTCTAGGTTCCTTATTATAAATTTTTTATATATGGTCTGTTTTTTAGCTTGTTTTTATTACTCTAGTATTCTTATTCTTTTTTTGTTGTCAATTCTCCAACCATTTTTTTAGCAGTTTCTACTTCTGCAGGTTCGAAACTGCTAAGGAATTCAAGAATGCAACATTTAATAATAATGATGTTTAAAAATGGTGAAATGTGTATTTCAACTTGTACATACAATATGGAGCAAAACGGCCAACAGTTCATTGAGTGATCAACAAAATTGAGGAGACTGGTTCAGACACAGAACATTGCCGCTGTAATTTTTGAAAATAGAAACAAATTTGATTGCCTGCTTTTTTTGAACTGTTTAACTTTTGATATCATACTATATTTGTTGGGTGTAGGTAGGTTTTTGAGTGGCTAATTTCGGGTTTATGCCGTTTTGATATATTTCACTATTTTTCAAAATCATATACATTTTATTTAAGAATTATATATTGCACTCTTGTTGGACCATCTTTTATTTTCTTTCTTGTATTATTTAATTATTATTTTTGACATCAATAAACTTACTGAAATATAGTTTTTTTGATTCAGCTTCCTTCCATTACTGCATAAAAACAAGTCATATATCGGACCCCTTTTTAAGGGAGGAGATTCAATCAATAATTCATCTTGTTATTCAATATCAATAATTTCCACACTTTCAAAAATAATCGAAAAACAAAATTATTTTATCGACAATAATAAAGTTTTAAATAGATCTCAATTCGGTTTTGTTTTCAGAGTCGTAAAAGTACGGCCAGAGCTATCTAGCCTGCTTTCTAGAAAAGCTTTGCCTATCCTTGAACGATGATGAGGTTCCTTTCATGTGGCGATATTTTGCGATTATTCAAAAGCATTTCATCGCGTAAATTGAGTGCTGGTGAGAAAACTTTGCCAATGATTGAGAGAGATTCCCCGGAGTGGCTTTCTGGGCTTACTTCTTGCGCTAAATTATGCCCACTGAGAAATGAGCTTTTCCGTCAGAGAAGAAGGGAGAGGTGGAACCATATAGAAATACAGGATCGAAATGCAATAGAGAGTGTTTATTAGTAATCATACTTTTCTCATTTCAATAATTCTAGCTGGGCACATTTAATGTGTATTATCAATTTTAAACTCGTAATAACATTATTAAATAACCAATTTTTTGATAGTTTATGCGGAAGTATCTGAACAAGAGATTTGTGTATATTATTATTATTATGGAAGGTTTCGATTACATTTCCTCCTAGGTCTATGATGCAAAACAACTTCCTGCCAAGTGAGTCTGAATATTCTCGGCTTTATAAATTTCAAATTATACATTTGATGCTTTGCTTCATGCTTTCGGATATTCAAACCTCCACATCAGATTTATACACAAACTGATAAAAATACTAATATTTTTGTTAGTAAGTGTAGAGCTCTTCTATCATATTTAAAAGGAGATTCGGCTATTTCTGAGCATGCACATGTATATGTACCTACTTTTTGTTATTAAGATCATGATATTATCATTTTTTGGTGTGATGGATTTGAGAAAGTCGATAATCCTTCATCTTGTAGGTATAACCCCTGTTCGACTAGCCTGATAGGGCCGATTTCTCAATAGCGAGTCACCTCCGGGTTGGTTTTAACTCCAAGGTAAACGTGTGCAGTTGCAATGTTTTTCCTGGAGTTATGCTTAACCCAACCCAGGGGTGACCTGCTATTGAGAAACCGGCCTAGTGTTGCCAGATGTCAGGTTGGTTTTTGACCGGACAGTCCGGGATATCTGGTCAAAAAAACTTTGGTAAACCAGACAAGTTTTTTGTTGAATTCATAAAACTTGTGAAATGTTACCTACACACCCATGCTTTTAAAAAGACGCATCTTGTAAACCTGTACCGTAAAGTTGGGTCTCTTTGGTCCACTTTTGAACTTTACATTGTCATAACTTTTAAACCAAATGTTATAAATTTTTGTTCTTGGTCTTATTTTGTAGGTCTATATTAGTACTTTCAACTTTGAAATTGGCAAAAACCCGAAGGCTTTCTAAATCCATTTAAAAAAAAAAAATAGGGTGGCCAAAGTCAGACAACGAGATTAGGTTACTTTGGCCATACATTGTTTTATTTGGAAAACGTAAAGACGCGCAAGGATATAGGTGACTTTGGCCATAGTTATAATCGCCAAATAGGTTTGTGTTGTTTTTTGAGGCTTTTGGGCATATAAGTAAGCATATAGCCATTTCTTTATAATAAAAAGAACAAAATGATTTATAATGGTTTTAATTGAAAGAACATTCTTTGCGGTAAAAAAATAATAGGAACTCACTCTGTTGATAGGGTAAATTCCTGCTTTTTCAAATCCACTTCTTAAATTTTCCCTACCTGGTTCTAATCAGGTGACGTAATCATATAACGTCATCTAAGTGACGTAATCATATAACGTCACTTTAGATAGGGGGACAAAAACGTCATTGTGGGGTTATGTGTGTGACGTCAGCTAGTGCCTAATTACCAACTAAATAGAACCGAATCTTCGTGACGAATGTAGTTCATCCAAGGACGAACCATAGTTCGTCTGTGACGTCATGAGTTTGAACGCTGGCTAGAAGCTGCGTCCATGCTTTTGTCGAACCATGGTCAATATGACGTCATGAGTTTCTCGCGAAAGTGTTTGTGTTCATGAAATCATGGAAGTAGTTCGTCGCGAAAATTCGGTTTATGTTAAACATCTTGTGGCCAAAGTCAGACCAATATAAAGATTTTCTATTGGGCGACTTTGGCCGCCCTCTAGCGGTACAACCTGCAATCCTAACTTTACAGCGACCCCTCATAAACTTTCTTCAAGGTTGTATGAAGTCGCACTTTCACCTGAAAATCTTATATGTCGTCTAGTTATTCACCCATGAGTAAAATTTTTGAAGACAAAAATTGCTCGTTTTTTATTATTTTGCCTTATTATTTTTTTTCAGGAACTTAAAAACAAATTGAGTGCTGTAAATAATTTTTTTTCCGTCCAATATGATCTATAGAAACATTAAAAAATCACATTTGGAAAATAATAATAATTATAACGTAATTGTGCATGAATAGAACAAATATTGAAAAATGGCCAAAGTCAACCCTAGCGGCTAAAGTCACCCAACTTTACGGTACTGTAAAATAATTACAGACTACAAACCGAGGATTGCAGTTATATGCTATTAAATAATGGGTGGCGCTACACCAGGCAATCAACAATGGTTTTTGTGATTATCCGAAAATATACATTATTTTTCAATTATTATAATGTTGTCCTGTTTTTTTCTTTTCCGCACAACCTGGTAGGTACATATCGATAAATCCCCCCAATAACCCAAATCCACCCCCTTGATGATTAAAGGGCGAGTTCCTCCAAAGCTCAAATTACAGATTTATACCTAGATCTAAACGTATGTGATCTAAACAGAATTTTACCTATTTAATATTAATAGTTGTGATTCTGTTGTTTTGCTGTGGCGATAAGAGTTTCGACCTGTTACCTACTTTCAACATTTTCGAAATTTGAATGTTATTGTTAAATGACATTTACAACAAAACAACAGATTGAGTAACAATCGTTGTAACAACGCATCTCTCCCAATCAAAATCGATTGATTTGATAACCTCATTTTCTTAAGGTTGTCGTGTCAATTGTGTAATGTGAAGGTTGTATGCGAAAATTGTAAACAGCTGATCGTCGTTATTTCACGCTGGCGCGGTAAGCGACGAAAATTTTTGAAGCTGTATACATCGTTGCCAAAGTTATGTTTTTGTAATGATATCTTCGTGTCCGTTTCAACTTATTTTTAGTTCATTTTTTTTCCAAACCTTAGTACATATCATTTTAAAATATTCAGGGCCGAGTTCAGAAATAACGCACAGGGTGCGAGTGCGATTTTATGGGTGTGTCTGAATTGACAATTGGCCATTGGGCCCATAGCACCGTCTAGCATTAGCCGCTTTCCAGCTGTGTGCTTCAAGCACGGTGCAGCATAGTGTTCTGTGTTTGAAACGCAAAAATTAGCAGCTCTCGAAGCGCAGTACGGCTGGAACACGAACACGCGCGAAGCATTTGCGTGCGCAAAAGCTCGAATGCGTGCTGAAAAGCGTCAGCTGGAAAGCGGCTATTTTTGAACAGCTAGGGCGTCGTCGGTCGCACCGGTGTCACACTCACTCTGGGTGTGTCATTCCTGAACTCGCCCCAGCGCAATCAATATGCTATTTTTCGCGACATAATTTTCCAAACATTATGTTCGATTATGTTGATTAATCCAAATGTCATTGGGTAATTCTCAAATTACTCAACATAATCGAACACGGAAAAATTAAGTCGCGAAAAAAAGTCCTTTTACCAGCGGCAACCGCAACAGCTGTTTGCGCCTTGACGCTGCAGCAGGCTTACTGGAATTATTTTAAATAAGTCATCGTCTGGCGCGTTTTAATGGTTTCGAATGTGTCCAGTTTTGAAGTGCCCGTAGAGAACTTATTCAACCGCATAGATAGATTTTTTTTTTTTGGAAAATTTACTTAAAATAGGTCCTCGTTTGAGATTTAGTGAAAGAGTCCATTCTAGGTAGTTATTTATATTCTCCTAAAGGTAAAAAACTTCTACTCCACGGAAATTCGACTTCCTCTGCGGAATGAGGCCAAACAAGCTGAATTTTTGCAAAGACCTTCGTTCTGATGTTCTTATGAAGCACAAAAAAATCCCATATGCCTACCCTTGTGCGTCTTGAGATATCGAAGGTCAAAGGTCATAAAAATCGTTTTTCGCGAAAATCTCGCTTCCAGTGCATCTGTCGTCGAAGAACCCAGAAAAAAACTTACGTAAGATAGGATTCTCTACAGAATTTCTCATATACATTTTTTTCGTACGACCAACCGTTGTCGAGATATAGCGTGATAAAGCGGGAGCGCGCATTCAAATTATGTAGGTAATACTGTATTATACTGCAGAGCTATAACTATAAATGCATTTTTCCTAATCTGTTAGTCCGGAAAATAAAACTTTCAATAGTAAAACTGTTAGAAATTTGTTTATTTATAATAAATAATCGATAACATAGCATGCATAACAAAAAATACATTCTTTTCCACGCCACTTTGGAAGTAGAATGCAAAGCGGGTTTTTTTTTTACCTGGTATCCCCAGTAGGCCTTATCCATGTTTTCGATCTTAGGAATAGTTATTTATGCTACTAGTGTGTTATGTTGAAAATAAGTCACATGAGAAAAAATTATACTACGAGGCCGTTAGGCCGAGTGGTATAGTTTCTCGAGTGTCTTAGAAAACATAACATATGAGTGGCATACAAGAACTGAAAAAATTAATTAACAGGTATTTTCTAGGAATGAGTCTTCTTTTAAGCAGGATTAAATACATGTTAGTTTCCTGACGTTTTGCTTTGTCGTTATAAGAAAGTGAGGTATAAACCATAAACCACTAGTAGGTTATGGGATAAAAGTTTTTTAACATTATCATTTTTTGCACATGTCTTTCTCCTTGTCTTCGTTGGGTTCCACTAGCACCTCGATCAACAAATTATCCTCGTCAGATGCTTCCTCTATATCTGTTAGCTTTATGTCTGTTGGCAAAACCTCGCTACTAGGCCCAAGGTCACTGAAGTCTTCGATGTTTAGCAACTCTCTTGAAAGTTTTATTTTCCTGACTAAAAGGGAAGGAAATTGGAAAAATGTATTTATAGTTGAGCCAGGCGCAAACCAGAGCGGTGGCGGTGGCGGGCGCGGTGGCGGTAGCGGTGGCGGTGACGAAGCGAACTAGATATCCGCAAACCGACGCGTTTTTTCCGCGACAAATATTAGTACTTTCAGTATTTTCATTTTCGTTTCTGGATCAAGATTGGTTACAGAGTTTGCTCTACTGGCATATTTTGATGAACTGTTCTCTGTTCTTTTCTCATTTTCATTAATCTTTGTTTTACCAGGTGCTACTTGACTGTCATTTTTATCTTTAACTAGCTGACCCGGCGAACTTCGTACCGCCTCTGAATTATTAAATATACCTATTAAATGTTCTGTTAACGTATCTATTAGCTGAATTAAATTCAGTTTTTTTCGATGGTGAAAATGGCTTTTTTGGTTGAAGAAAATTAATGTTTATTCTCTGGATCAGAAGTCACCTAAAATTGAAATTGTACATCATCCTTTTTAGGCAGCTTGTGGGCATTATTCTTGTAAAGTGTACCACCAATAATAAATAAACTCAGGCACAGGAATGTTCAAAGAATGTAAAGAAAACAAAAAAAAATCTCTAGCGCAGCCCTGTTTCACTCTATCTGCACTGCATGCACTGCACTACTCCATCTGTTCTACTCTATCTGATCTACTCTTTCTGCACCACTCTATCTGATCGGAATAGTGGAATAGTTCTGTTCGAAATAGCTCCAGTTCCTGAGCAGCATTGTTCTACTGTATCTACAATGCCGAGCTTCGTTCCAGGTATCAGAGATAGCGCGGTATACAAAATACAAAATACAAAATAAACTTGGTATCGGTTATAAGAGATGGCGCCGTATGCGGGCTTAGTAAATTTTTTTCATAAATAAATAAAATAAGCAATGAAATGACCACATTAATGATATAACAACATGCTGGTACTGTCAACGCTGAAAAAAGTTTCAATTTGACAGCAAAATCCCCATTAACAAAATGATCCTCCATTTATTGAATAATTCATTTATTACAAAAAATGTCATAAATGAAGAACCGCTCGACCGATTTTGTGCAAACTTCACATAAACCATCCAATAAATAGTCCGTACAAAGCCTAAACATTTGGTTTGGCTGGGTGAGCCCGTTCTTGAGTTATAAAATTACAACGAAAAGTGGCATTAATTTTTATATATATAGATTTTGACTGTAAAAGTACGCAATGAGTGCCCAAGACATGGAAGAAAAAGCCTTGTTTTCTTTTTTTTTTTCCCGCACATTTTTGGTAAGTTTTTCAGTATCACACGACATGTTTGCACTACGCTGTACTGATGCAGATCGCGCGCGCGAACTAGGCGGAAAAATGATGCAGACAGCGTTCTACCGCCGATCGCAATGTGACCGCCGCAGAGCCGCGGTAGAACGCTGCAGGAACGGCGGGCGCGTTTTCCAGTTCGCCGCAGTTTGCACGCGGTGCTTTATTTACATGTGCAGTATTCTTTCGCCACCGCCACCGCCATCGCGCCCGCCACCGCTCTGGTTTGCGCCTGGCTTTATAGCTCCGCAGTATAATACTGTATGTAAGTATTACCTATTTTGAATGCGCGCTCCCGCTTTTTCACGCTATATCTCGAAAACGGTTAGTTGTACGAAAAAAAATGTTTATGAACAATTTTGTAGAGAATACTATTTTACGTAAGTTTTTCTCAGAGTTCTTTGACGTCAGACGCACTGGAAGCGAAAAACCGATTTTCATAACCTTTGACCTTCAATATCTCAAGACGCACAAGGGTAGGCATATGAGATTTTTTGGTGCTTCATTGCCTTCATTAGAACATCAAAACGAAGGTCTCTGCAAAAATTAAGCTTGTTCGGTCTCGTTCCGCAGATGGCCTTTTTTTTGTCTTATTTCCCTGGATGGGGTATTCGCCGGCAATAGGCAACGCTGCAAAAAAACGATTTCATCTTGGGGAGTTTTAGCATCCCATAATATAGGGAAGTTTTCGAAAAAAAAAACTGTGAAAACGTGCCCGCATTATCCTCAGACCTCAGGATGTTTACTTTTAAAGTGTACAGTACGGCATTCCTTCATTTTTAAATTTTTGTTAATTTTGAGGTACATATAGCTAAGTGCAGCATACCCCATCGTTCATTCCTTCTACATGATAAAAAATATAAATGTGATCAATTATATAGGTACCTAATTCACAAAATCATAATGGACTGTCCTATAAATGGCCTCGCTTATTATTTTTCAGTTGCCTTGGGTGACTTTGGTTGTGGGTTTTCATTTCGCATAGCATGTAATTATAGGTGTTTATCAGTGATATGACAAATATAGGGATTGATGAAGTATTGCGTAGATTGTCGATAAAGTTCAACAAAATTTTTTACGACAGAGAATTTGTTGAATCTGTGAGTGAGGATTTGGAAAGAATAATTAATAATGCGAATAAATGCTGGTAAGTAAACGTAGAATATGCTGGTAAAATTAACAATGTATAGATAGATGCTATCCTAATATACAACAAGAAATGTCTTGGTCATCTAAAAGTTTCAAGATCTTCAGTTCAAATGTACAAGCAAAAAGGAGAATATCCAGAAGCATTTTTGATGTCAATTTTTATATATTTTTTTTGGCTTCGTGTTGGCTTGGGTATGAATGTTGATACCCACGGTGCATAGAAACGAACATTTTTTGCACACTTTCAATCAATCCTCATAATAATTAGAGATTGTTTACGTCCGTCTCAGATCTGAGCATTAGCAAATTTTATTAGTCTGCCGCGACTGTCCGCTCAACTTTTGAGCCTATGTTACTGCAATGATTTCAGTGATACCCAAGACAAATAATAACTGAAAATTCATATTCCAAAGAAGTTTTTGAAGCCCTGTTTCTCTGTAGCTGTTAAAGTTTAATTACCTATCGATTTAATGTTATTAGCAAAAAGTCATTGTTTTTTATTTTTGGTTCATTACTGATTTGTCATGCACTGATGTGGCTTTTCCGTAAACGGAATATCGTTCAAGTTCAGTTTTGGTAGTCGCCAACTAGAAAACCAAAACTAAAATACTTTGAAATGGCAGTGACTTTTATTTAATAATAATTAATTCTAAGCTCATTGTAATTCGTAGCAATTTTGTCCATTTCTTTTATTCGTCATACCAATTTAGTTCCACAAATATTATATAATATCAGCCTTGATCTGGTACCTACTTATTATAAATTGCAAGACCAAAAATTTTTCTACCTATTGCTTTAACTCATAAGAATTTTTCTAGAGCAAAATTCAAATAACTTAAATAATGTCAAAAAGTGAAATTCCAATACAACGTGTAGCAAATCTCATATGAACAACAATCGAGAAACATTATTTAATAACTGACATAACGTTACCTTGCGACGAGGAAAAAGGAATCGGAATTCGAATTAAATGAAGGTGAAAGTAATACCATAACAGTACGGTTATGTAAAACAAAAAACAACGCTGTTGCCAATGTGTTCAGAAGCTACAATGTTATACTTTCATTATTTGAAATGTTCTAAAATTGTTTTTCTGTATTTTTTTCTAGTGCCTTCATGCGATTAATTTGAATAATTATTTCAGTGGATTGAACCTGTTTTTTAGGTTTGTCATTTCTAGAAGTTCTTCCAACTTTCAGACTTGCTACACATTGCATTTTATCACAGTTAAATAATTAACTTTTAATGTACAAAGGATAAATATATTACATATTTATTTGAAAAAATATTGAAGACTCTTACAACAATACAGAATTGACAAAAACTATTGTACACCTATAAGTACCTACACCAACCTATTACCTACCTATTAAAATATAATCTTATTAATCTTATGTGATTTTAAAATCAAAAATCTTAAATGATCATTATGGCTTGTCCTCCACAGTACAGGTATAGCTTATACAAGTAAAATTGCCTGAGTTAAAGTACAATGTGAAGTACCACCATGACTAAAAAATCCCATTGGCAGTTAGAGAGTAGAATTTATTAAAGCCCATGTTGGCAACAACGGTTCTTACGGTCAAGATTTTACTTTCATTATTACTATTATTTTCAGCCTGCTAGTGTTTCCATCTTTCAGTCCGAATTACCTAAGAGTGGCTCGGTACCAAGCCAAATTGTGCGATCTCGCCGTTATCGAATTGAGAAGCGGTAGTTCTAAATCAATTGGAGTATGCCATAAAAAATATTTGTTGTAAGTATATTTTTTTATTAAATTTTACCTAAAACAGCTTCTTCAGGCGCTTTTTCAAATGAACATTCACATGGGTATATGCAATAAAAAAATTTCCAGAACCTAATTGAGAATTTTAGGGTACAGGGTAATCTGGTTATAATGTGACACCCCAGGGGTAGACTTCACCTTTACAGGTAGATGATAGGTGTAATGGTATAAACTCAAAAGTTTTGCAGTAATTTTTAGAATCCATCGTCAGAAACAAAAATTTTATCCCAGAACTTTGAAATTTTGCGTACTTTTCCGATTCCAAAAATATATAGTTTGCCTATATTTGGTTGAGCCGTCTCCATTATTATGATTTTGTTTCTATCAACATGTGAATAAATCCATATCAGTGCATGGAAAAAAAAAAACTGAGTCTGCTTGTACTTGAGACTTTGAGATACTGATGTGTTAACATCTCGTTGGTTAATAATAATTCAAGGGCGGGTATTATAAAACTATTTTGACAAATAACTAAAAGTTATCTTCTGGAATGACTTCAGATGTGATGGTCATTCCAGAAGTTAAGTTTTAGTTAGTATTTGTCAAAATAGTTTTAGAATACCCGCCCTAACTGGCAGCTTCAATCAGAATGGATTGGTTCACTCCACAAATTTATTCACAGCGATCTACAATATCGACATCATCGACATGAAAATCTATAATGCCACCTTACTGTGCGTTCGGTATTTTGATCTGAGTTCTCCGAGCTTGAATTCACCGTTCGTTTATTTAAAAAGTGTACTCGGTGCAAGCTCATTCGCGTTTGTTTATTGAAATTTCTGACAGTTTGATACAGCGTTCAACTGCTCTGTTCGCTCGCTGGTAACGTGATTACGGCTCCGCTCAGCACGCTCTGCTCTTTGAGCAAAATACCGAACGCAAGGTAAGCCGCAAGCGCTGAAGTAGCTGTACACTAATCGCTGTGCATGTCACATCCGCTTTCACACTTTTGTCTCCATTTCCCAAAATCCCTCATCCCTTATAATAGTTTCGGTATAGTTTTTGTTTTTCTAGATGGTATGTATATGAAATTCCATTGGGGTGGTGGCAAATCAAATGAAAGTTATTATTAATGCAACAAAATTAGTATAATGATGTTCTTGCTTAATTAATAGTTTGTGAAAAAACAATTATCTAGGGTTTTTTTGTTAGGGTGCCAGATCCCGAAGTAAATGGAAAAAAGGAAGAACCTCAAGAACAAGAGCAGTCTAGTAAACAAATGGCTGAATCAACGACAAATACAACGATAAGAAAAAAACGGCCACCAATTCAACTTTACATCCCACCGGCTCAGAGAAAGTCTAGATTAGGTGCAATTTTAACAGAAAACAAAGATCCAATTAAAAATGGAAATAGACTGAAAAGTAGTAGTAAAGGAAATATTGTTAAGCCATTATTAGATAAATGTGAAATTAAAAATATTGCCATAAAAAAAGGCGTAGAAACAAATAATATAAAATTAAATAAAGAAAATAATAGGACAAAAGCTATTTATTGTAGTGGAGATGTAGACTATTTTTATCAAAACTTTTTTCCATATTTTAGTCATAAGTGCAATAATTATTATTGTGTAAAGTTTTTTTTATTTAAAGAGTTTTTTCCCAATGCCAAATTGCTCATATTTAGTATAAAACGACTAAAATACTCATTTCACTGGATACGAAGTAAAAAAGAAAATCCAAATATAGTTATGGATGATACAAATCTTGAAAATAGGACAATTTTAGGAAAAATAAATTTATCAAAAGTAAGTTCAATTATTAATGTGTATCTCTATTTATTTAAACACAGAGAATTTATTTACAGGATATTTGCAAAACATCAAATTTAGGTCTTTTTCTGTCTAATTCACTTGACTTTACGGAAAATCGAAAGACCCCTGACGAACTTCTCCAGTTTCAAAACTCGTATTGCTTAAGTGGAAAGAGATTTATTTTTTATTTACCAGACTATATGTATAACTTCTATGTATCGGTACCTGATTTTAAAATTGTTCGTGAGGTGAAGCCTGATGAATATTTACGTTGTGTAAGAATTGGTTAATTATATTTTTTTGTTATCAAAAAAGACTTCATTTATAATATTTTCAGTATCCCAAGGTGGAGGATTATTTAGATCTAGAAAATTGTACTTTAGAAAAATGTTTTATGCTTCCTCAAATAATATCAAAAGAGGTAGACTTAGATAATTTATTAGCTGATAATTCATCACTTCAAAAGGAAAAATCTGATAATTGTGATAACAAGTCTAATGAAAATTGTGCCAACCTAGAAGTCAGTGATGAGAGAATTCTAAGCCCTGGAAAGAAAATGGTGGTAAAAGCAGTTGACAAGGTTATAGTGTTGGAGGAAAGGATAGAGTTGCCAAAAATAGAGTAAGTCTTAAATTGCCACTCATTTTTCTATGATTATTATATAATGCGGTTTTCAGCTCGAAAAGTATATCTCCTCCACCAATCGCTGTCAGAAGTAAACAAAACGAACACGAACAAGAAAAAGAAATCATGAGAAAAGCTAAACAGAATATTAATAGGAAAACCAGACCTATTATAAAATATATAGACGACGATAATGACACTTTGAATATTGGAAAAGGTGACAATATCAACAACTGGGAAGACTTATTCAATGATGATGGGGAATTACAGGATGATATTTTTGATAAAGTAAGTGAATTGAATAACAAAGACCCATCATACTTTTCAATTGTGACAATTGTCGAATTTTTCCTCTAACTGGTATCTTGTACTGAATACAGTAAGAAGTTCATAAACTCTGGAACAAATTTGATATTTTGAGAGAATTGAATTAAGATTTTTTTATCATACAGCTAGCAATTTCAGCCTGCTTGCAATACAAAATGATTGGCGTATTTTGATGCTTTTATACGTTTCAGTTTGTATTTCAGAGAATTATGCTACAACACATTGAATGTGGTACTTTTAATTATAGGTTATTCACAAAGTAGGTGCCGACGTTACTATTTTGAAAGCAACCGAGGATTATTTATCTTATGGAGCAAAAGAAATTGAAGAATTGGAACATATGGTAGAATTATATGATTTCCCATCAACATTGGAAACAAATGATATAATATCCTCTTTTTGTGAAATCAAAAGCGACTCAATGTATGTTAAATGGGTTGATGATACTCACGCTATCTTAGTTTTGGGCTCTTCTTTACAAGGTGAGTATCAATATTTATATATTTTTTTAAATTTTCATTACTGTAATGTAATGTAAAGTCTGTTCAGACAATGTACACCCTACACACAAACCGCTATCAAGGAACTACACTAACCAATTCTTTTGAAAAACATCTTAAATAACTTGACATTGGTTACTGGTTTCATAAAGTAAATGTTTCTTCAACTTTGCATATAAAATAGAGTGGGTGAAATAGGGCTACCTCCTATAACCCTCATAATTATCACAATAACCCGCTTCTGAAATTACTTTTAGCCCAGAAAGCATTAGCACTCTCGAACCAATTAATAAAAGTACGTCCAATGTCGGCAGCCAGTAGTTTAGCTTTAGAAAAAGCAAACCAGTTTGACTTAAGACCAGCTATGAAAAGACCTCAAACTAATTTGCAGACCGCTAGAAGACTTATTACCTCGCATTTAGGAACAAGGAGTAAAATTAGTAGAGAACAGAGTTCTAAAGAACGAGAGGATTTACGTCTAGCCAAAGGTAATAACCCCTACCATATTTAATATTTTCCAAAAATGGCGAATTGATTTTTATATGTTTGATGATAATTTTTCTTATATGATTAGAAATGTTTATTGATTTTTGCAGAGTTAAAAAAGAAAACGAAGCAGAACGAACTAGATGCTTGGGAAGGAAATCTACGCTCAAGCATTAATAATTAGACTTTGACTCAAACTAATAATGTGCCTTATTATACTCGTAAATGGATTAGTCCCTGTGACATATAGGTAATTCATATTTTTTAATTCATGAAAAAAAGGCAATAAAAAAGCTCCTGAATGCCCACAAAAGCACACAGCCAGGGTCGGATCTGGTTGTTTTTGCGTTCCTCAACATAATTTTTTATTTTTAATGATGTTGAGTATTTTATTGCAACTTTAAGAAGTTTGAAAATCAATGCAAGTTATTTTGAAACATTTTTGAACAGTATTTTCAACCAAATCACCGAATCTATTAAATTATTTATTTGAACGGATTAGAGACTTGGGCAGTCACGAAAATATCACTTTTTATTGGAATATGAATTATTTTATACGGAGGCTACTTTATAGCTTCATAGCAATTTGCTTTTGTGATTTATATTTATTTATATGTAGTATATTTAAAATGTTTAGTCATTTAATATTATTCAAATTTAGCATTTTATTCACAGAACCAGAACTATGTATATTCTATTGATGAATTAATTAAATTTGATTCAGATACATGTATGTTATTATAAATTTATGTTTTATAAGTGTGTAGTACTTTCATGGACCATAAAACTTCATGTGAACTAACTGAATATGGATAGACAGCATGAATCACGAGGCGTCAGTTGTTAAGGAAATGTTGAATAAACAAGTAAATTTAAAAATTATACTTTATTGTCAAATAAAAATTAATAAGTACGGTGGATTCGCCCAATTGTGATTAGAGGGTAAATGTGACACATGCAATTATCTTGCATCTTAATGTCAGAACGGTAAAGCTGGCAACTCTGTAAGTACGCGGGCATATCACTTTATTCCGCCAAAAATTTTCAGTTGCTTCGTGATCACAGTAAGAAAAAAGTAGGTTGCAATATTATTTTTTCAATTTTACTATTTTGGTTTTCTAGTACATACAATTGTGTTACGTATATACCACAGTAAATTTGGCCAAGTTTTATAGCTGTTTACCTAGGTGAAGATGTAAGGAGTGAAGATTCTTTGTCGGATTTTAACCTCAATATTTCAAATTTTAAACTTGAGTGGGTGTCACATTTAGGCTTCCAAAAATTGCGAATCGTTTAATTGTGATTCAATGTAATGTTTAATTGTGACATTCTGTCACAATATTAAATATTACCACGAGAAATGAAGGGTTGATTTCCTCATTTACAGGTTCGAAATGCCGAAAGAAAGGATAATGGTAAAAAGCTATACGAAGGAGGACATGGAAAATGCAATAAACTCTATAAGAAATGGGATGTCTTGCAAAAGAGCATCTATGACTATCAAAATTCCCCGATCAACCATTATCTCAAGACTGAAAGGGTGGAAAAATAGAGCTCCCACAAAGTACGACAACCCCGGTAGAATAACCGATTTGTCTCCAGAGATTGAGGCAGACCTCGCAAGAAATTTGAATGCTTTAAATAAATGGGGGTTTGGTCTTTCGAAGAACGAGATCCTATGTCTAGTAGGCACTTACGTGAAAGAAAACAAAATCGCAACTAGATTTAAAGATGGAATTCCTGGAAAAGACTGGTTCATTGGATTTTGTCGACGACACAACTTGTCTTGCAAGAAACCAATAAAATGACAAAGCATTCGTACGGAGCGTACAACGCCAGAAATAATACAATTTTTTTAAAAATTGTATGAGGATACACTCATGGAACTAGATCTTTTGAACGCTCCAGAAAGAATATTTAACATAGATGAAACGTCACTTTGTAGCGATCCAAGTAACACAAAGGTTGTGTCGCAGAGAAATCAACCAGTTTTTCGTCACACGCACGGCACAGGAAGAAGCAACACAAGTATTTTGTTCTGTATTTCAGCTCACGGAAACAGACTACCGCCAATTATTATTTATAAGGCCAAAAATCTATGGGATTTGTAGATGCCTGAAGGCGCTTATCCTAATACTGGCTATGCTGCAACTCCTCATGGATGGATGACCGAGTCTGCATTTTTTTCTTGGTGCAAAAACCACTTTATAAAATATGGCCCCAAGGAATGACCACTTCTATTAATTTTTGATGGGCATACTTCACATGTTTCTGCAGAACTTGTAAAATTGGCTATTGCAGAAAATATAACATTACTGAAACTTCCACCCCACACGACACATGTCTTGCAACCCTTAGATGCAGTGCCATTTGGAACATTCAAAAAATGTGGGACGAAGAATTAACCATATGGCAAAGAGGACATTATGGCATTGCTTTAAGCAAGGCCGAGTTTTCTGTAATGGTTGGAAAAATTTGGGAGAAATTGCCGATTCAGTTGATAAAAAAATCTTTCCAAATTACAAGCTTATACCCAGTTAATTTCAATGCAATAGACCTCAGAAAATATACGTCATCGTCTTCAGAAATAGAACACGAAAATTCCGAGGAAACATCGCATCCACGGAACCTGGGACATCTAACATAATCAGAGAGCAGCCTGGAACATCGAGTAACATAAATGAAGAGCGGCCATCTACATCAGAAAAAATACTGTTTGAAGATCTTCTTTTGAAGAAAATATCTTTGGGTAAAAGCTCATCGACAGAAAAAAAAAAGAGTTTCTCAAAAATTTAGAAGAGCGGAGAAGCTGAAAACAGCTAAAAAAAGAACAAAAAAAATTATCAAAAAAATGGACGACGATGATAGTAGTAGTAATGAGTCCATTCCCGAAAGTCTTGATGCTCATGATGATAAATACGATGATATTCAAACTTTAGAAGAGCTAGTAGAAGCATAAAAAAGTGATGAAGAAGATGATGATATTTCCATTTCCGGTCCTCAAATTGGCAGTTGGGTTATTGTAACATACATTACAAAAAAGTCTCTTCGACGTTATGTGGGAAAAGTATTAAATATTGAAGATGGAAGCGCAGAAGTTAAATTTCTCAAAAAGTTTAAATCATATTTTGTGTGGCCGGACACTGATGACATTGACACTGTTTCCATATATGACATTTACAAGGTTATTCCAGCACCGGCAGAAGGGCGTAGAGGACAATAGTTATTTGTTTTACTAGGCAGAAAAGTACAGATTTATTGCCGCGGTTGGTGTTTATAGCCGAGGCTAGGAAACCAGCCGAGGCATTAAATTTGCTTTTCTGCCATGTAAAACATATAATTTTTTCTCCGAATGTTCAAATTCACACATGGGCATCTTTTTTATATTTATTTCATTAATTATTATTATCCAAATAATTAAATTATTTTGACAATTGTCATTGTCACCATCAATTTCAAATACCAAATTGAGCGAAATTATTACCTGGAACGTTGTGACACTGTCACTTTTAATGCCTAGGCAGTGAAAGTCCACTTTTACTGCCTAGGCAGTAAAAATACAACTTTTGATCCTGTCAACTGTCATTAAAAGACCGGTTTTACTGTCATTCGGAGAAAAATATCTTTTGCATTAAGTTTTGATGGATTATACAGGGTGTCCCAAAAAGATACCGACAAACTTTAAGGGGTAGTAGGGGACATCAAAACAAGCATTTTTGTTTATATAAACATATGTCCGCAAATGCGCCATTTGGGCTGTAGAGCAAAAAAACTATTTGATACTTTTATTCTTCGCAATAATTAAATCACTGTTTACTTATTAATTTTGCTTTATTATCAAATAAATTATGGTTTACAATAATTGTTCAAAATGTTGACCACTTACTTCAATGCAAAGATTACACCGCCGGGTCATTGACTGAAAAGTTTAGTCTACGAAACACCTGTTCGTAATAAGGAAGATCTGATAGCAAGAATACTGGGAGTTGTACCCATGTAGAAGCTATTCCCGGAATATTCCAAAGAGTTTGTGAGTTGAACAATTATTGTAAACCATAATTTATTTGCTATTAAAGCAAAATTATAAGTAAACAGTGATTCAATTATTGCGAAGAATAAAACTAGATACCAAAGAGTTTTTTTGCTCTACAGCCCAAATGGCTCATTTGCGGAAATATGTTTATATAAACAAAAATGCTTGTTTTGATGTCCCCTACTACCCCTTAAAGTTTGTCGGTATCTTTTTGGGACACCCTGTATATTGAATAAAAACATAAATGTATGCTATTTTTACCTACTAGTTTCAAGAAGACTGATTTTCTTTAATTTGTATTTTTCTATCATTAGAATGTCCATTTATTTTTTGATTAAACTATTTAAAAACATATATATTTTTTTTCGGCTAAATGTGACATCAAATTACTTCCCAATATTTTTTTTGAGTTTATATGTGACACAGAGTGGATCACAATTAACTTCGCAGCTTATAGAACGCTTTCATCGTAAAACTTAACCCAGATCACATTTACCCGCTAACCAGTGTCACATTTAAAATTTATGGGGTCCAATTATTGTGACACCTAGAAATATTTTTAAAAAATATAATAAAACCCATGTTTACTTGAAACACAATACAAAACATTATACAACATATAAGACTATGTATATTCTTACCACAGATACGTTGAAATCGATGATTTAAAAAAAAATAAAGTCTCAATGATTTTTTTTGTGCTACTGAACGAAAAGTATGTCACAATTAGGCGAATCCACTGTACATCATTTTGTAGACAAAGGCTTAAAATTAAAAATACTTATATAATATATTATATCTACTTATATACAATTTCAAAACAAACAAATATAAACAAATTAACTGTGAACATTGAACAATAATAAATGAAGTTCAAGTGTGTTTTATTTGAATCTACAAGATCCTACAGTAACTGCTATACAGGGTGTCCGGTAAGTATATGTCATACTATCGGGAGCGTATTAGCCATTCCGGTCACGTGACTTTGACAGGTCCGCCATATTTGCTGAGGGGCAGACAAAGCCTATAATAGATCATTATTGTCTACAATGGCCGTTTTCGATTCGCAACGGTTCGGCCTTGGTTGGTTCGGATATGACAGAAGTTGGTTGACAGCTTTTGAATTTGGTCGACAGCTTTTGAATTTGGTCTGTCAAAAAAGGCGCCATTAGGGATTCGAACGACCTGTCAAAAAGTGCGTTGTGGGCGGAAGTTCATTATCCCGTATATGAGAGTATGGAATTGAAAGCTTTTGAAGTGCATTTTGTGGTTGTTTTGTGAATGAACTTTTTTTATTTTATTGACTTCATTAGTGTTTCTTCTGATTAAAAATGCCACAAACGTGTCTTGTAGTTGATTGTGGAAGTAATTTCAACAAGGTAACAAGGATGTCAGGCTTTTTTCATTGCCCTCTGTTTCAAAATTTTCCAATTAAAACGTGAAAAATTTTCACTACCACTGTTCCTACATCTAAAATTAAGCCAGACTCAAAATATTTGTGAGAATCTAAGCTTCTGTAGGCTTTCATTTGCTCATTGATGTGAAATTTGTGAAAACTGTGGGTTAAAATGTCAACTGGACATTATTTCAAACTAACCGTTCGCCCACATCCCGACTTTCCTGCATTTAAGTCTTTAAATATTCACTCTGCATCTCAAAAAGTATATCATAACAAAGTAAACTGTAATTAGCTTGAAAATATTCCAAATTAACTCAAGATAAACAAACAAACGTCAGATTTTCCACATTCGCCATATTGAAAAATCACGTGGTTTGGGGAGACAAGGATGATACACACTACTACTCCAAGGTGCCGATTCTCGGGCCAGGGAGTAGAGCTCCCCGAGAGAACAAATTTTTCGTCTTTATCATTCTCGCGTTTACTTTTCGATTACGTTGACAAGGACAAAACATTCTTTGTTCTATCGAGGAGCTCTACTCCCTGGCCCGAGAATCGGCCCCCTGGATGGCTTATCCTCATAAGGCCTGTGTGTAACAAATCCCCCCTACCCCCCTACGCCAAACAACCAGTTGTGACGTAAGCAGCATGGCGTTTCTCGCCTTGACGTAGACTCTTTAAATAGCTGACGACTTCGATATGACGTCGGCAATAGTTGAAAACAGTTGAAAACCAATATGGCGGCGATTACCAAAAACGAGGCCGATAAGCACTCCTAGTGTGTATTCTCCTTGGTTTGGAGAACCTACGAATTTAGATGGACCAAGGTTGTCTGTCACGTCACCGGCTTGCAATCGAAAACGGTTGGTTCTAATTTGGTTGTCCTTGAAGAGGGACCAAAGCGAATCGAAAACAGCTAGTGTTTTTTGAGTTTGTGCTTCGGAATTTTTGCGTTTTTTGATTTGTTCAATAAATTTTAAGTTGTTTTTAGTTTTTGTGAATGAATGGAATTAATGAATGAATCTTTATTTACAGTCATGCCACTTTACATTTCAATTCAACATAGTGAACAAACAATTTATTAACAAAAATAATGCTCTAGAATCTAAATTGTTTAAAAAATGAAAAAGTTTGATACTATAACAACCTTACAAATATATTTTAGCAAAATAAATTTGTGGTAGAATGATTCCTCAAACGTTTTGACTGTTCTGATTGGTGCACAGATCTGGTATGTAGCTACTTTACTGGCTTGTTCATTCTGGGCTTTTATCAATAGGGAATTTTCATATTTCTCAATTCATTTTTATTTAGATACTTCTAGTGATCAGATATTACATAGTTTTATTTTTTCCATTTTAATCTATACGTTGTAGGAAGAAAAAATTATTGAAATTCAAATTAAAAACTTTGGCGCGAAACGCAAGGTTTCAATATAATATGACAGCGGTTGTGACGTCAAGATTTTGTAAACAACAAACGCAGCAAATGAACTCCTGCTGACGCAGTGCTATTTTTGTGTTATTCAATTGTGTTAAAGTTTGCTTTTTGTGAAAATTGTCGCAGTGGATGGAGAATATTGTAAAGGACTACCTAATTTTGTGATTTTTATTTCACTTGCAAGTTCCCTATCCACAGGTTTGTTTACAAAATCGTGACGTCAAAAAAGGTAGCCATCCATCATGGAAGCATTGTTTTGGCGGGAAATTTTTTATTTCAAATTTAGCATTATTTTTTGTGTAACAAGGGCGGTATCAGTTAAATAAAAACTGATCATATAAATATTATTCAGTATAAACTATCGATTTAAAACAAATTTGGATAATTTTAGTTCACTTGCAAGTTCCCTATTATCGTAGTATATCCTAAATTTGTACTGGGGACCCAATCCGGATTGTTTGTATCCTCAAATTCTGCTGGACTACCTTAAAAGGTATTAAAAGTTACCTACCTACTACTTGTAGAAACATAAACAAGTTTTTTGATATAGCTAGATGATGTGTTTTTGTATTTTCTTTCATCTGAAGTAATAAGAACTGTTTTGCTCACGGAGGAACCGGCGGCAACGACAGTTCAAGGACCGTTTTTTTTGCTCTGCTTCCTTCTAGTTGTTTTCCTATTTTGCTATCGGGCCTATCGGTAGTGCCGGCTAAACAAAATGGGCGATTTTTCGCGAAATAATTTTTTCAAAATTTATGTTCGATTATGTCGGGTTATCCGTTATCCTCAAATTGCCGTTTTAGCGAGAAAAAATTTTCAAATCATGATAGAAAGTGAACTTGACAGTTCGCGTTGACATTTTTAGTAAATTTTTTCTTTAGGTTGTCAGCATGTGTTAGCGCTTCGATTCCGTCAGCTGGGATACACGACAGGGTCGTATTCAGAAAAGTGATATACATTTCAGAATAAAAATTTATTTTCAATTTCTTTAAAGGAAGTTAAGTTATTAAAATCCAAAAATCCTAAAATTAGAGTCTCATGTAAACACTTACAATGAGAGAAAACACTCAAATCCAAGCTAAAACCAGGTTTCAAACGCAACACCGAAACACAAAGGCACAGAATACTACATAAAAAACCAAAAAACCGATTGCGATAATAACAAATAAAAAAATAATGCAGAAAGCGGCAAAAAACTGAATGATTTCACACAAAAATTCGAAATTCAAAATTCAAAGACCCGAATCTGATATTTTTATTCGTCAAATCAAAATGTCATGTATCATTTTTTGAAGGTTGTCAGAAAAAGGGACAGATATGGGGATTTTATTTATTTTCAACTGGTGAAAATAACGGTCAAAATTTAAACTCTATCGTGAATACGACTCTACTAGTGGTGACTTCGCCCGCAAACTTCAATGGAATATTGCGATTCAGGCCGTGCTTGGGAGTTAATTTTAAACCTCGGCTAATGCATTTTACGCCAAGAGTTAAGAGGCGCTTTCCAGCTGACGTGTTTGTGCTTCAAGCACGGTGCAGCACAGTGTTCTGTGTTTGAAACGCAAAAGTTAGCAGCTCTCGAAGCGCAGTACGGCTGGAACACGAAAAAGCTCGATTGTATGCTCAAAATGGTGATCAACCCGATCACCAGCTGTTTGTCTTTCATCTTTCTTTAATAAACCCGAATGAAAAAAGACAAAGTACATCAGCTGGTAATCCGGTCAAATTGGATCAGCGTTTCCGAAAAGGCCTACATCATTCATAAAGGCCGTTTTACAGCTTGCAAGAAAACTTGAATGCAATTTGTTGCATGCAAAAAAATTGCATTCAAGATTTCTTGCACATCGTTACACGTTGCAATTTGACTTGTTTCCTTCTCTAACCTTAACCATACTTTTTTGTTTTTAATGTTCTGTTGTTGATGTTTGCATTTTCCAAAAATAAAAAAAGTTTATAAGTCGATATAAAAAGACGAAAGCAATAGCAGCAACTTTAAGCATCATAATTAGTTGTATTCCTTTCACAACTAGGAGGAGCTCCGGAGCAGCTCCAGGGCTTCACGCGCTTATTCCTTTCGAAAAGTGTTTGTTGCACCACGCATCTGTTCCCTGCAAATCGGGGGCGACTGAACACCGGAGCGAGTAGCTCGAGTGTTTCAAGCTCTTGAAAGGAATACAACTATTGCTAAAAATTCGCAAGCTTGCACGAAAACCTTCAAGAAAAATGGCACCAAACCGATTGCACGCCATTCAAGTTTCAAGAATCTTGCAGAAACCAATTAGCTGACTCACTTCTGCGCATGCCCTCGTTCAAGTTTCTTGCATATTGCAGATAGGATTGCAAGCTGTAAAACGGCCTTAACCCAGCATAGATGCAATCCTCGCGAAAAATTCTAGCCTAATGAATGACAAACAAAACAAAGTCCATTCATGAAAAATATCAAATAAACAAATGGTGGGTGGTATTAGAACGTATAAGGATGATGACTATGATGAGATGACTTGTGAGTCGAAGCCTTCCATTGATGGTTGTTTTTTCGGTGAGTAGGTAGTTCCTTTATGTTATTATAAATTATAATAATTCATTTTTATAAACTTGCCTTATTTTCTCGTGTTTGAATCTATTTGAAGCTAGAACATAGGTAAAACTTTTGGAAAATGTAGTGCTTATTCAAAATGATAAGTAAATTTGTATAATGTTTAGAAGTTGCTTATTTCTGTGAAGTATGATATATTTCATAGAAAGTGCACATAGTTTGTTAAAAACTGTTAAATTCTCGTTCTTTTCAATAGTTTTGATGCTACAAGATAACCAGAATCTTGGTGTTTCTTTTTGGTTACTAACCATTTAATTGCTAATGGATTGTGATCCCTTTCAACATCTGTTTCATCTTCTGATGAGCTATTGGTATCTAGCATAACAAGACAACTCCACTCTCGCCATGTTGCAACAACTCCATAGATCACTGGATCAGAGCCTATGAACTTGAATTGAATGGATGAAGGATAAAACACATATATTCTTGTCCACTGCAGTAGTAATATATTATAAAATTATAGCTCACTGCTAAGCTATAATATATATTATACAGGGTGTCCCAGCTGAGAGTGACCCATTTTAAATGCTTATAACTTTTAAACCAGGTGAGCTAGCTACCTGCGGTTTGTACCATTCGATTTCTCTTGGTCTGAAGTTTTTTCTAGTAGGTTTCAAATTTTTTTAAAACTTATACAGGGCGAGTAAAAAAAAATGCGTTTTTCAACACTGAAATTCTTCACTATTTTCAATGGAACGCCCTGTATATCGCAACGTCAAAAAATAGATTCATCTTTAAGGTATCCATGTACCAATAGACATCGTCCCTAAAACTTGAAGTTTTAGCTGTAAAAAATCAAATTCGAAATCTTGGTATTTTTGCAAACACCTATTTTCAAAGCTTCAACCTTATGTTTGCCCAATAAAAAGTTAATAACAACTGCATAAAACTATACAAAAAGCTGTAGGTACCTATATGTATATGTTAGCCATTCTGTTCCAGGCATTTGTGGATCAATAAATGGTTGAATGAATTGTGTAACATTTCCTGGAGAATCGCTTCAATGACATTACAAATGTTCCACTTAAGATCTTTCAGGCTATTTTAGCAAAGTATTGCCGCATATTTCCTTGATATAACGCCAGAGAAAAGAGTCTAGAACTCTCAAGTCAAGAGAGTAAGGTGTCCATTCTATAGGCCAGCGGCCAGCTCTCCTTTTCCGTCTTTCCCCAAATGTCATATCTTATGATTCCCTTGCTATTAATGAATAATGAGGTGGGGGCATCATCCTGCTGGAAATAGATATCATTCAAGATAACCTCCTGTCTCAACTATGGGAAAAAGAACATATCAGTGTATACAGTTTCTGTTATTGTTGGTTCATCAATGAAAATGGTCTGTATTTTTTCTCAATAGAGATTGCACACCAAACTGTTACTGTTGGGGTATCTCTATTTAATGAGTTCCAGAGAAAAACTAGACAGTTACAAAATTGTTTGCCATAGTGATATCAAGTTCCTACAACATGAAGTTGCATGTATTCGCAAAAATACCAAGATTTCGATTTTGATTTTTTTTCGGCTAAAACTTCAAGTTTTAGGGACGATGTCTGTTGGTACATGGAAACCTTAAACATTAATCTTTTTTTTGACGTTGTGATATTCAGGGTGTTCCATTAGAAATAGTGGAGAATTTTGATGTTGAAAAAGGGATTTTTTTTACTCGCACTGTATAAGTTTCAAAAAAAATTGAAACCCACTGGAAAAAACTTTAGACCAAGAGAAATCGAATGGCACAAACCACAGGTAGCTAGCTCACCTGGTTTAAAAGTTATAAGCATTTAAAATGGGTCACTCTCGGCTGGGACACCCTGTATTATCGCTCATCGTCCATAGCCGGCTTTAAATAGATTGAAATATACAAAGCTATTTCTATTCTTAGGCAACATTCCCACATGAAGACTTTGAATTCTCGAGGATTATGTCCTATTATAACAGTGATACCTATGGTTTATAACTCATTACAAATAATTCCAGTTTTTAGTCTGTGCACCCAGAGGTTACACATTATTTATAGAGTTTGCCCACGAGTTGTAAAAATCAGCATGGCCTGGATCATGCGGAATATAAACAAAGTCAAACTTAGGGCGGTCTCTACCTGAAATTCTCGAAATGTTTTGTGGGTCATCAAATTTTCATATTTGGTGTAGAAATATATTTTTTTAAAAGATATTTCCATTATGTGTGTATTTGAAATGCAATATATTTTCCATAATGTTGTGTATACATAGATAATTTTATAATAACATATTACATACTGTTTATTCGTGATTATTTTTAAATAAAACTTGTAGAGTAGAAGTGGACTGTATATTTTCTTTATTTTCAACACACATATTTACAAGTGGAATATAATTATTATCATCTAACTAAACCCAAAACAAATATGAAATTGATCAAAAATTAACATTTTGCAATAAAAACTATTATCATCAGAACAGTCTTCTGCAGTATTATTAATAATTGGGCGTATCTCGTCAATTACATGTTACGTTTGGTAGGCTGTCCATATAACATTTTCCATGTGCTCTATAGACCTGAGTTCTATTCTCACAGAATTCACAAGTCATAGTCAGATCGTTTTTGATTAGTGCAAATCGCCAACAACCAGTTTTCTGACTATTTTCATCCAATGAAATTCACTCTAATTTGTGATTTCTGTGAGAACAAACGTTTAAACCACATTTCTAGGGACGTTTTACACAAGGCATCATACCAAAGTTTTAAAACAGTTACTGCTGATGTTTTGCAAGCCCATCCATCATGAAAACTCTTTGATATACCCCGAATCAATTCTATGGCATTGAACTGGCAGTGGAGGTGGCAGCCGAAGAACTTAGTTTTTCTTTGCCAGTTCAAGCTTGTTTTACCTTTGCCAATAGGTCAGCCTTTAACTTTACTGTTGTTCGAAATTCCATGATTATTTTTGAATCACTGCCTCAATTGTTTTTTTGTGGAAGAGGAGTTTGGAGTTGTTTCAATGGCTCATATGGATAAAACCGATAAAACAGAAGCAAATGCTTTTGCTCAAGTTTTTTAAGATAAACATATTCAGATTTAATGCAGCGAAAACTAAAAAGAGACTGAGGTAGAGTAAGAGAATTTGCTACACTTTATGCATATGAGTATTTTGTCTGCTGTGACATAAGGGCTATGAGGCATTATCTAAAATTAATCAAGGGGCTTCTTCAAGTCTATTCAGAAGGCTTTTTTCAAACCACTCTTCAAATTAATCTGCGGTTATGCTATTATGGTATTCTTCTGAATGTGAAGCTGGAGAAAATATAAGCCTTGCCTCGCCATTTTTATTTCCTGCATGCTTGCCTGCCTGTAGAATCATGTATCGTTGTCCTTCTCCTGTTGTTGTGGAATAATTTTATTTTGTTTCATCCTGCCGCGCTCTTTTGTCTGGGCTCCCTTTTGCGAATATCCATGTCTCATCCAACAACACAACATCTCTGGAGAAAATTTTCTGTTGTTGGATTTTTATACCCAAAATCTAACTGTCACGGTACTTTTCTTAAAGGGGGTGTGATTCAAAAAAACAACTTGAGCTACATTCCAAATAGTATCCAAGAAAATCCCTTATGAGGTTAAATTATGCGGGAACTTGTGACGCCACACCGGCTAACCGCCGAAATCGCATCTTCTGATCATCAGTGAACCGTGCCCTATACTTCGAACAGTTGCAATTTGCTCCAGTGAGATTGTTGACATTTGTTTTGGAAAATTATTGCACGTGTTAACCTTTGTGCTACCAAGCTTCTGAACGAACGCGGAGTACCAAGGGGGTACAAATTGTACCCCTTGTTTTTTTGTTAAGTTTGGAGGGGAAAATCCTGCTACACATAAAAAAAAACCAAAATATTCATGGAAATTTTCTTCAAAATAATGTTATTTGTATAAAACACATTAGATACTCAATTTAAATTTCCATTTCCATCGCACATGTTGCAATAATTGATTTTTCTTTGATGGCCATGATTTTTACGGAAATGGCCATTTCTAAGGAGCACAAATCTACACAAACCGTACAATACAACGATTAGCAAAATAATAAACATGCACATCAGTTGAGATTATAAACATGTGTGATTTCGTCGAGAACTCCGCATGAATCTATTTGGAAAAGCAAAAGGCATCAAACCCCAAGCGAGGTACAAATTGTACCCCAGCCAACAAAATTAATTATATTGTTAGAAAGTTTTTTACAGGTAATGACCAACATGAATTCAGGGACACAACGGTCCCTGTTTGGGAATCGACCCACTGAGCAGTGGACTCAGGCTTCCCGTGCCAATCCTTGACGCGTTTCGTCCTTGTTAGGACTCATCAGAAGGATATAGGCTGAAGCTCCCTGTCCAAGCAAAATTAATTATAATTTGAAAATTTTTAATTGTAAATGATTGACTATGATGTTATTAGTTCACTAAAGTATTATTGATGTCTATGATAAAAGCACAATACATTTGAAAAATATTTCTTTCAAATACACGCGATTTTGTGCGTGTGGGGTACACAATATGCCCCATTGGTAGCACAAAGGTTAATACTGTGCCTCTGAAGCGATGAAGTGGAAAGAAGGTTGGAATAGCCCTTTGCCTATCTACTCAAAACATATCTTTGCAGCCAACATTAGAGTGAGAGAACAGGAGAAATCCGTGAGATTTTCCTGCCATTACTAGCGCTATCTCACTCAGGGTTAGAGTGAGAGATATGGAAGATCCAATAGATTTTTTGCCCTTACTAGCGCTATCTCATTCTGGAATCAATTGAATGACGCAAAGCCCATTCCAAACCTTTTTTCTACTTCATTGCTCCGAAGCCAGTGTGATGTCACAGCCTAGGCGTTCGTAATTTTAAACCGCCCTAACTCGAAAACGGTTCATCATACCGAGATGCAGTTCAAATATTTATTCTTGGATTTTTTTTGCAATAAAACTTTCATTTTTGGGTCACATCCCCTTTGAACTTGTTTTTCCTATATGGCATATATCATTTTCTTCTAGATGGCGCTGCAAAGTATCTAGTTTAGGTAACGAATTCCTCTGTTTTGAACATATAAATTTCCTGCTTAATATGGAATTTTACAAGGTCTGGTAAGTGAGTCAACTTTTAGAACTTAATCTACTCCTCTTTACCGTCTGGTCAATTTTGCCTTCTTTTTCCAAATTATGTATGTTATACCATAAAACATATATACACATGCTTCAGCATTACCATCTAGGACTGCTAAAACGGACTTCAATAATAAACCACCGTTTTCTTTTTCTTCACCAAAATATTGTTCCACAGATAGTATTGATAGTATATATTTTCGTTCTTCTGGTCCTAACAAATGAACTTTTTTGATTTCCATTTTCAATCACACTTAGGTATACATATTATAATAATCACACAAAGCACAACTGCCTGGTGGACTTTTATGGATACTTATCTAGTCAGTTGTGTCTAAATTACCAATTTATACAAAAGTAAGTATGTACTTCGGTAAAATCATTATGTACTCGTACTAATACTTCAGGTTTAATTTAGGCACTTACTTCTAGAAACAAGGAATGATAATAATATATAATTATTGAATAGATAATAATAATTTAATTTAAAATGATAAACCTATCTATTTAAAGCAGGTTTTCTTAAATTTTTTATTTCTTTTTATTTGAGAAGCACTGGATTTTGGTAAAAATCTTTTTTAAAGACTTTGGCAAGCCTCACTTTAGTTCAGATCTCGATTCAGGTGCTGTTGTAGGTACCATTTTTTAAACTTACTATAGGTATCTAAAAATATATTATTTTGTCAAATAATATTTTTTTTATGAACGAAATCCACAACTACTCTATAGATATTGATTTTCGTCGTACTTTTACAGTATTTAATGTAAATTCGTTCATTGTCTGCCCTGTTCCATTTATAATAATTGATTTAAGGCCGGCTTATGGCCATGTGGAGTTTTAGAACTTATGGGTAACCACTGGGTGAATAGATTTTAATTGACTTTTTTGTACACCTTTGTTCCTGGTTATGTGAAGAAAAATTAATTAAAATCTACAAGTTTTGTCGCTGGTCTGTATTTTGAAAAAAAACTTAATATAAATTATTTACTTGACTCATTGAAAAATAGAGTAAAAGAATTACCTACCTATTTTCTTTTATAATATAAATAATACCTAAATAAGAGAGCCATGGAGCTTCAGAGAGCCATGGAAAGCCAGATTTTCGTGATCAAACGGGTTTTTCTTTGAAAAGGCCAGAAGAATAGTGCACAGAATAGTGCTGAACGCCATAGCAACAAACCTAGCTGATTGGAAATATTTTTGTTATTTTTTACGGAGTGAGTGGAGACATTAGGCATAATGAGGAGCCATGAATCTATTGCTGGTGCGTGTGATGTGTGATTTCAAGTATTTTTATATTTTCTCTGAAATCGGAGTTCTACTGCAAAGTTTGAAGCCCATATAGGTATTAACCCGTTAGCCAAACTCATTTATCCCAACAAATCTATAAAATATGTATGCAAAATATGAATTATTCTATGCATGGATTAAATGAGGCTATCCGGTTTACTAAGATCATTTTTCAGTCAATCATGTCGATTTTCGTCTAAAATGAGTTATGTATTTCAAATAAAAAATTCACAGAATAAAGATTGTTTCAATAGCGCAGGACATAAATCACATTACCCAATCTTAGTACTGAAAATATTTATTCGTAACAATCTATGACTATTGCACAATAAGTACATCCATTCTGAGATTGTACTGGATGAAGCTAATTTAATATTATAAACTATATTTGATGACAATGTATTCTATAGCAAAAGTGTACTACTTGCAAACTGATAGAGAACTTTGTCTAATTTAAACTTGTTAAACTAAATATTATACCTGCTATTTTATTTATTACTTTGATTTTGATGTCTAGGTGAAGCTGACAAGAAAAAAGTTGAAGAAATCATGATCAACGCAGGACTAGGACTGGCCCAGTCTGGAGATTTATCTAGGTATTTGTTTTTTGGAATTCATTCTTCTTTAAACTTTTGTAATGCTACTTTATCTAAAGTTAATCACCCCTGAATCTTGAAACAAACTAATTGCAAAGCCATGTTGGCATTTTGCCAGACGAAAATAGGTTCGGTAACAGAAATGTGACATTGATTTACGTACTTAAACTAAAACTGACAATGTACAAAAAATTGACGTCCCAAATTTGAACCTTTGGATAGCGGCGATAGCGCTGATTGTTGGTCATCTCATAGGGGGTATTTTGGGATGTTGTTTACCACTTTGTAGTTTTGTCAATTGGTTAATGTAATAACCATTCTTGAAATAAACATGATAACCACATCAATTTTTCCTCATAGGTCTACAAGTAATTCCGAAGAAGGAGAAAAGAAATCAAACGACCATATTGTATGGGTCGTTAATGTAGCACACAGAACAAAAGCGAATCATCTCAAAATTGCTCTATCAGCTCATGGTAAAGTCGTCAAGGTTCAAACTCTTATAAATGCAAATTATCCTGGTTCTAGTTGCTATGGTCGTGTAACCATGGCATCTTCAGAAGATGTAGACAAAGTTATAAAGAATCTAAATAATACAGAACTGGATGGGCAGATGATCAAACTCACAAGGGTAAAATATAATTTTGGTCGGATCTTTTAATATTTTTTTGTTTTTCTTATATGATCTAATGAAGGATGTTAAACAATGTATATTCAGCAATAATAAAAAAGAAAAGAAAGACAATGATAATGTTGACAGTTGTTGCAGTGTTCCAGGGCCAGAGAGAACTAAGGGAGAAACAAATGATACATATGTAGGTTATATCTGTACATCATTATAGTTCTCCATAAACTTTTTAAAACTTGAACTGTTTTTCAGGGGGGGGAGAATATGTGGATGGAAGGCTTTCATGGTGAAAGAGTGGGATCAGCGCATCTTTATAGAAGAAAAAATGAAACTATTCTTACCTTTGCTCAGATTAAAGTAAGAAAATGAAACAAATGTAAAAAATATAATTTTTTTGGGTTTCTAAGTAGTGGTCCTTAGGTGTTTTCACCTGAAATTGCGCTTATAGTTAGGAAATACAGTAATGGATGAGCTGCGTTTCTGTGAAACAATGATACCTCGGAGAACTTCAGAATTATATTTTGCTAGACGTCCCTCTAAACCCTTTCAAGGGTGCCGCTTTCTGGAGTAAGTCTCCAAAAACTCCAAGTTTCCCTTAATGAGAGAAGGATGCTGGCCAGTAGCAAAGCCAGTGCTCGAATACTAAGTAGAGTAGAACCCTGGTTAACTGAGGTAACGTGAAGGGCACCCTCCTCGGTTACCTGAAAACTTGGATAATCCGAATCTACATATATGTATATGTAGGTATGTTTTAGAAACTCTGTTAATTATAGACGCGCGTACCTCGGATAATCAGGGTCTTTGGATGTTTGAATTGGCTCGGTTAATCCAGAGCTTGGATAATTGCGACTCGGATAATCGGGGTTCTACTGTAATACCTTTTTGTATCATTTTATATTATAAGGATGCATATTTCATAGAACTCAGCTGATCTAAAAGACTTCAGAGCTATTTTGCTGTGTGTTTATTGATTTAAACCATTCTCAGGAAGAAAGAGAACGCCAAAAAATTCGCAACCAGGAACGAAGTTTGAGGGAAGAAAAGAGGCGTCGTATAGAAAATGATTCTAGACAACCTGAAGCCAATAGGCACCAACAAGAGCACTACAGGCTGAAGCAGGAAAGGGGACTTCAAATGAAGCGGACAATATTTGGTAAATAATATTTAAAGATTGTATCACTTAAAAAATGGATAAATAATTTTATTGTTTGAATTACAGTGAGGCCGACAAACGAATCATCTGATCATGAGAAACTTACAGTAGGGAAAAAGGAGAGTGAAAAAATATTGGAGGAAAATGCAAGAGCTGAGAATGACAATGGAAGGTTTCTCGCTGCCACCGCTGATTCTATAAGGTGAGCATGAATTTTAAACTAATTACATACTAATGCATTATAAAGTTAGGTTTTTAATTAATATTCACTTCACTCCTCATTTTGAATTACCTAATGCAGTAAAATTGACAAAAACAACTTTGCCTAAGGTTTTTTTTTTAACTGATAATTGTTTTTTTCGCGGTTCTGACTTCAGTTTCCTTGCTGCTAAGCTTTTTGAAAGTTTTTTGTAATCCATTCAATTTATTCGTTGAAATAGTCAAGCCAAGACCAAATCCCATAAATCCCCAGAAAATACATCACACAGCTATGATCGAGAAATAGGCCATGGCTATGATAGACAAAGAAGCCATCAAAATGGAAAAAGCCCTGACTATGATGCAGGAAGAAGCCATGACTATCAAAGAGAAAGAAGCTGTGATTTTGATTTAGGAAGAGACTATAACTATAATGGTATATGAATACAAGATAATTTTTTTTAAATATATTTTCATAATTACTTATTTTATGATTCCCGTCGTTAGCTGAACATAGTGGATTAACTACTTCAATGGGTTCAAGCAGCTCACATTTGTCAGCGGGTACATGTGGAATCCATTTATCCTCGGGAGCTAATGTACTAGGGTCTTCATTGGGACCTCATTTGCCATCTGAAAATTCTGACTGATCCTGGGAGTCCATAATACTGGGAATACTGATGATTGTTCAACAAAATAATTTGTTTGAGTCTAAAAGTTCCAAATTTCCTATGAACATAAAACATTGATTTAAAAATCGATATTGTGTTTATATTTTAATCCATGGCACAACATTTTTTTAGCTGAATAGTGGATAATTAGCGAAATATTAGTGCACTGATGGACGTTTGCACGGGTTCCCCTTAAATCTCACTCCTACGTAAGTGTAACCTAAATCTGAGGTACACCCTAATGATTATTTCGTTTGCAAGGGTTCCCCTTTTCCGAAGTTTACCTAAGTGCTAGGTAAAACCGGCAACGTTTCAAAATATAGTGCTATCTAGGAACATATCAGGTCGTTATAGTAACTTATTTGTTAAAATGTTTAGGGTTTGTTGTTAGTTTTGATTTTTCTAGGTTAGGTTCGTGGGGTTACGTAGAACCGAGAATCGACGTTTATCATTTTTGTGGCTTGATCTTCTTTGTGCTTTGAAAAAAATCAGTGTGGCGAGAACCAAAGATAGTCAGATGAAAAAAAGGGCTCCGAATTTTTCGCCTATAGAAAAAACAATGTTATTGAACAATATATTCGCCTTTAACGGGGTAAATTGAAAAAAAAAAAAACAGACTCTGTGATTTGGCGTCAAAAAGATAATGGAAGCAACTAGCATCTCTGTTTAAGTTACAAACGCCAGAAAACCATCCCAGAATGAAAGATTCTTTAAAGCAATTATACGAAAATATTTAAAAAACTACGTTAACTCCAAAAATGACAAAAAAATTACAAATTAAAATGAAACTTTGTTAGGGGTCAGTTTAAGCCCAAGAAATCTTCGGTTTATCTTGCTCTTATTTAAGTCTGGCTTAAGTGCCGGTTCGACGACTGTGCAACGAAAAATAATTAAATTGAAGAAGTAGGTAATCCATGAAAAATAATTAGTTAAGGGGCACCTAAAGTTAAGCCCCACTTAAAACGTGTTAAGTGGAACCCGTGCAAACGGCCATGATATGAGCTAATCAGGAGGACTATTAATTAGCAAGACAATTGTCGGAGTATTAATTTTAGCTGAATAGTGGAATAATTGGCAAGATAACTAGTTACTAGGGGACTAGTTTAAGCAAATATGGTAGATAACTAACGAGAAAGTTGGTGTATTAATTTGAGTTAATCAGTAGAAGTGATAGGTTTACTTTCTCTGCTTGTGTTGACTGTCAGCTTTCGATTGAGGAGTTGAAACGGTACGATTTGCTGAATAATCTGTTTGAACATAGGCTGTACTACCAGGCCTAAATCAGTTTGAAGTTAGAGCTTTGTTATGTTCATTTTAGAAAAGCGATAAGTGATCAGTGAATCAATTTGTTCAGTGAACCTGGAATCCTTGACAATACGTTCACTTTCATCCCGGATAAAATATCTTGTTTGGACTAGATCTTTATCTGCTTTCCATTTTATGTTTCCCTTCCTCTCTACAGATTGTTTTTTATTGTACACAAGTATTCCTTTTGGAACTTTTGGAAGCTTAGGATCTCTTTCTAACAACGCTGCCATCATGGTTTCGTCGCCGCTGTTATAGTTGCATCGCTTGGTCTCTATGGAGAAAAAAAATCTAATTGAATTTATTGGTATATTGAAAAAGTGTAGGTATATCAAAATATGGACAGTAGAAAAAGACAAAAATGGACTAACTTTGTGGTAACGAGGCTGTTTTAATCTTTCCAGGTCTATCTGGTGTAACGGATTTTTTCTTTTTTGGCGGCTCTTGGCTCGGCTCTATTGATGATGATTTATCCTTTGCTAGTAAGGTGGGTAGTTGAATCGATGGAAAAGGTCTTTTAGACGATCGTCTCGGAGGAGGATTGGCCATCACTTCCAATCCAGTGGATCGCATCTTGGAGGGGAAAATTTTGACAGTCTTGCCCTTTTTTTCGTCTCTCTTGAGATTCAGCATGGAAAACCACGGATTATTTTTTTTGGTACGATCTTTTTCTTTAACACTACTGTCGTTGGTCAATATTGTCAACCAGTTTTGGACAAGTTGATATGAAAGCCTTGCCACTTCTAAAACAAAGGTATATAAATATGGATTATTTAACTAACAGAAGACAGAAAGTTAAATGCGGTGAATACATTTCCCAGGAAAGTTTTATAAATGTTGGGGTGCCGCAGGGTAGTCTTTTGGGTCCACTCCTGCTTATACTGTACCGGGTGTCCAAATAAGAAAGGTCGCCGGCTATATCCCAGGAACTATTAGTCCTAGAGCTTCCAAGTAAAAATTTTTTTGATAAAATAGGCCATGAAAAATTGCTGGAAATAGTTTTCAAGTTTGTAAGTTGACCGCTAGGGGGCGCAACGAACACTCAAAAACATAATACTGTGATTATCTTCAAAAAACGCCCACTTAAGGTATCTTAAAAATATGATTATTGAAATCTTGATGAGATTACGAAAAAATTTTGTTAAGGATTTTTTGCTCTAACTCTTCAAAAAAGAGGTGGGGGAAGGTTCAAACTTGTCAGGAACAAAAGTTATATAACTTTTTTGTTTTTCAACCGATTTAAATGAATCTGGTGTAATTTGGAAGAGTTTTTTTCTGTTTAATGAAATGCATAATAAAAATGACAAAATTGAATTGTTTTGTTGCCGCTAGGGGGCGCTGTGTCTAAAAGTCGACAATTTTCCATTTTTTCTTGGAAATTTCAAATATAATGATGCTTTTTTTATAATTTAGATGGAAAGAGGATGAAAAAATAAGGAAACTGGTGAAAACCGCAAGTCTTAATCTTTATCCTAGTCCAAAATATAAATAAACAAATATTTTCAATAAAAACATTTTCAGAAAAAAACCATCTTTTCGGGATGAAACAAAAAAAATCTTATTTTTTTACGGCGGTATAAAATTAGTAAGAAGAAGAACTAATTGTGTGTCTGAAAGTAGCTACCAATCCACGATATCAAGAAATGAAATTGAATTGAACTATAGTTATTTACATTCCAAGCTGCGAAAGCTTACTTTTAGGTGCGAGGTGTATTTAATACCTCCGAACACCTAAATAGTTACATATTTACATTTCAAGCTGCGAAAGCTTACTTTTAGGTGCGTGCTATTTGAATACCTCCGAGCACCTAAAAGGGCTTTTGCAGCGTGTAATGTATCAAACTTTTCATTGTTCTCCTCAGGAAAACATTTTTTTATCTTGAATAGGCAAGCGAACGCGAAAGTCAAACAAGCTAGTCATTACCTTCACTTTCGCTAAACTATTCAAGATAAAAAACATTTTATTTTGAACCATATATGTAATTAATGCATTCCTTACTGGTTTGGAGATTTGAAAATGTCATTTTACTTCTGTTTACTTTAAAGCAGGCCGGAAGTGACTGTTTTCCTGTCACTTTCGGCCTGCAGAACTCACTTCCGGCCCTGATAAATTGTTCTATCTCACCTTAACACAAATCCAGGTGCAATGTGTTTGTATTTAGAAGTAGATGTCACATGTGTTTATATTGTTGAAATTTCATAAGATGCCAATGTCGGTGTCAGACTGTCATTCGAAATTCAATTTTTGTCATATTTTTACCCTATTTTTTCCAATAATTAATGGTTCAAAATAGAATAGTATACATAATTTGGTGGAACATTTTCACATTATTGTCTCGAGAATTGTGCGACCTCGGTCAACCATAGTATTTCTCGACAATAATAAAACACTTTCCACCTCCGCATGTAATATACTATTATTTACAATCTTGGTTAAAAGTTTCATTACTTTCTCGAGATTTTAATTAAACCATAGTCTAAGATTATATATTAATTGTAAAATCTTTCGATAGTTATAAAACACTTTCCACCTCGATATATAATATACTATTCCTGAGGGGAACAATAAAAAGTTTAATACGTTACACGCTACAAAAGCCCTTTTCATTCTCCCCCCTACAAAAGTAGTTTTTTTTATCTTGCATAAGCGAGCGAAAGCGCAAGTGACACATGCTAGTAGTCACTTTCACTTTCGCTACTAGCATGTTTCACTTTCGCATACCTATTCGCGATTTTTGAGGGGAAAGGATGAAAAGTTTAAAACATTACACGCTGCAAAAGTCCTGTTAGGTGCTCGGAGGTAATCAAATAGCCGAGGCTGAGCTTCGATTCGCCTTGGCTATTTCAATATACCTCGCATCTGAAAGTACGCTTTCGCAGCTCGGAATGTAAACAACTATTTAGGTGTTCTGAGGTATTAAATACACCTCGCACCTAAAAGTGCGCTTTTGCAGCTTGGAATTTAAATAACTATAGTTCAATTCAATTTCAATTCTTGATATCGTGGATTGGTAGCTACTTTCAGACACACAATTAGTTCTTCTTCTTACTAATTTTATACCGCCGTAAAAAAATAGGATTTTTTTTGTTTCATCCCGAAAAGGAAGACAAGATGGTTTTTTTTCTGAAAATGTTCTTATTGAAAATATTTGTTTATTTATATTTTGGGCTAGGATAAAGATTCAGACTTGTGGTTTTCACCAGTTTCCTTATTTTTTCATCCTCTTTCCATCTAAATTATAAAAAAAGCATCATTATATTTGAAATTTCCAAGAAAAAATGGAAAATTGTCGACTTTTAGACACAGCGCCCCCTAGCGGCAACAAAACAATTCAATTTTGTCATTTTTATTATGCATTTCATTAAACAGAAAAAAACTCTTCCAAATGACACCAGATTCATTTAAATCGGTTGAAAAACAAAAAAGTTATATAACTTTTGTTCCTGACAAGTTTGAACCTTCCCCCACCTCTTATTTGAAGAGTTAGAGCAAAAAATCCTTAACAAATTTTTTTCGTAATCTCATCAAGATTTCAATAATCATATTTTTAGGATACCCTAAGTGGGCGTTTTTTGAAGATATTCACAGTATTATGTTTTCAAGTGTTCGTTGCGTCCCCTAGCGGTCAACTTACAAACTTGAAAACTATTTCCAGCAATTTTTCATGGCCTATTTTATTAAAAAAATTTTTACTTGGAAGCTCTAGGACTAATAGCTCCTGAGATATAGCCGGCGTCCTTTCTTATTTGGACACCCGGTACATTATTGATATACAGCTGGTTTTGAAAAATGTTAGATAACATCTTTTTGCTGATGATACAATCATTTATGCATCACACTCGGATTTAAAGGTTGTTGTAGATAAAATAAATCAAACATTAGGAGATGTGAGTGGATGAAATTTAATAAACTAAAATTAAATGTTCCTAAGACCAAAGCGATTAAAATATAAAAAGGAGCTTGTCACAGAAAGGTATTTTGGAACTGGTCACAAAAATTAGGTATCTAGGTATGATTGTTGATAATTTATTGAGGTTCAATGAAAATGTGGATTATGTGTTTAGAAAAATTGGTAGGTATGTAAGTGTTAGGAGTAGAAAATTGGTATACAATACAATAACATTGCCTCACTTCACATACTGCAGTACGGTTTTGTATACATGGTGACAATTTGAAAAGTAGCAATCGGGAATATATCTTAGACAAAAAATACTATCAGGAAGATCTCAAATACGTATCGGTGGATTGGAGGGGGAACCAAAATGAGGCACTTTTTGAGTCACCCCGCCTCACCCCTTAGGGGGTAGCTACCCCAACCTATTTTTTTTTAAATACGAACCTACCTTGTGTTGTACCTACATCGTTCGATAGCTCGTTGCTATCCCATTATAGTCATAATAGCAAATTCTTAAATCGGACGATTAGTTTTTGAGATATCGGTGTTTAAAAGAGGGCATATTTTGAAAACTAGTAACTATCTCTTAGACAAAAGAATTCTGTGACAAATGTCTCAAATACACATCGGGGAAACCAAATGTATTAAGAGTCGTGCAGAAGCAGATAGAATTACGATAAACACATTGTTTGGTTGTGCCAATGTGTATTCGAGACTTTTATGACAGACTTTTTTGTCTATGAGATAATCAAAATTACAAAAGTTTTCACAATGTGCTTACTTTTAAACGGCGATATCTCAAAAACTAATCGTACGATTTAAGATTTTTCTATAGGACTGTGAAGGGATAGCAATGAGCTGTCCAAAGATGTGCAACAGAAGGTAGGTTCGTATTTAAAAAAAATAAGCTGGGAGGGTAGTTACCCCCTAAGGGTGAGGCGGGGTGACTCAAAAACTGCCTCATTTTGGTTCCCCCTCTAATCCACCGATACGTATTTGAGATCTTCCTGATAGTATTTTTTGTCTAAGAGATATTCCCGATTGCTACTTTTTAAATTGTCACCCTGTATAACTAGTCAGGGATTATAAGTAGGCTGCAAAAATTGTAGGTAATCTTAGGAGTAAATAGGTACACAAGGATAGGTGATATGTTGGAAACATTAAATTGGCTAAGTGTACCGAGGTTTTTAGACTTTAATGCTCTTGTGCCTCAATATGATCGAGGTATATTGTTCATACTTTTGAACAATTACATAACTATTTTACAAGAGGTAGACAAAATTATGTATTCGCTGATGTGAGGGAAACCTCATCTCAAAATTCAATATTTTTCAAAGGATTAGTGGTATGTAATAAATTACCACAGTGTTTGAAGAATGTTGGAAGCATATCAGCATTTGTGAGGGAATTGAGAGAGAATATAAATGTTTGTATGATTTTTGTATGGATAGGTATATCTTGTAACTCTTGAATGGGGTTCGGCGTATGAATTGTGGATTGTAGATTGTTGTTAATTAAGGAAAGGTTGTTTTTTCGTTTCAAATAATATTATTCGTTTGTAATAAGTAATGTAACTTAGAATCGCAATGTGCTAAATAAAGAATATTATTATTATAAATATGATAGAAATTAATTTTTCGATTGTTTGATAAATTGACGTTAAAGTTCATTGACAAAATTAAAGAAAAATATTGCGAAGACATACGTTTAAAAAACCTTAGCAATTTTTGAAGACCCGATATCTTAGGGCTGTTTCAGATACCTATAAATTTGAGAAGTTTCCAATAAATATAATAAGGTCACTTAGAATATATCCTGTAGCATACGCATTATTTCCGTTTTTGGAGGCTTGCGCGATGTAATGTTGAAAGAAATTTGAGAATTTAATGAAACTTTGGAATAATTAAAATAGGTACCTACAACAAAAACATTCACTTACCAGACGGACCCTTTTTACCCAAGCTCATTATCAGTCCGGGCTCATAGTTCGAGGTCAGCCATTCCTTCTTCACGTGCGTGCCAAGCAGCAATTTTAAAATTTCCTCCACCGAATCCCAATCTCTTGTTGAAACGGCGTCCTGTAACCAGGATTTGACCAAGGTCCACCCGTCATTCTCAATGAACACGTTGACTAGGTTGGTTTTTGTGTTCTTCAGCATCAGCATGTAGATGCTGACAAGATTAGGGTTTTGCGTCATGAAACTGTGAAGAAACAAGTTATCATAATACAATACCTAACTATTTGATTCCAATCCAACAATTAAATTCATCAAGTACTTTAAATGGCTAAGAATAAAAATGGAAACTAGTTGCAATGTGCTTATCTTATAACATACTGTCATGAAATTACATCGACCCGGCCAGAATTCTAGGAAGCCATTTGTTTACATCTCGAGTCCGTCTGTTCTGGGAATTTTATTGAACCTATTTTCTACAAGTTGCTTCGGATAGGAACACATGGAAAAGATTTGAAGAGGTCTAACATTCAGGAGTGGATGGACAAGGGCTGAACAGAGAATGCATTTCAAATGAAAGAGTTTCAAGTGGGTACGAGTGGAGCTTAACTTGGAGACTGTATAAGCTCCGATTGTACAACCAGGCCTAAACACCATTCACATTTTTATGTGTCTTTGCCTCACGTAGCAACATAAACAGGTACCAGTTTTCTTTGTCAGATTAGTAATTTCAATTACCAACACCGTTTCTTTTTTTTACCTAACTAGCCTTGGTACCTCATCACTTGTTGGTATGCCACCATCGGGGTTCATCAGCTCCCAGAGGCGCTTTTGGAGCCTGAGACTATCAATGTAAGCCTTAAAAAAAAATATATATATTTTACTTTAAAAAAAAGTCATGAAGAGAATACTTACCTTCTTCATGGCTTCTGAAAGCACCTTCTTGCTGGCTTGTGAAAATACCTCCCTGGTAGCTGGTGATATAAGAGGGAGAACAAAACACTCCAAATTGACACAAAATTCTGAGAACTGAAATAATAAATGGGGGACAACATTCACAAATATGGAAGGAATGTGTTTAAAATTTTTATTTCTGACTAGACTGCCCAGAAAATCACTTTTCAGATGACAAAATAAAAAGGCATATTCAGTGTAAACGTCTTATTCTTATGCAGTCGAAAGCAGAATTGATTTTTTGGGCCTAATCGTAGTCATATTGTTTTTGAACGACCTTCCATGTTAAGGAATTCTTACAGCCAACATATAAAATATGCAGATGACACAAATCGTATTATCAGCAGCAAATAAATATCACAAGAATTGACAGTTAAAGCTGAGTGATTCTATGATATGGCGACGAGTTGGTTTTGCGCTAGTATCATACTAAATTTACAATAATTTTGAAGAACTGGATTTGTTGTTTATACAATAAGATTACTGGGAGAAATGCGCCTGAAGATGAATATATTTAGTTTACGGATCCCATCAAGGAACCAGTTCACCTAAGAAAGTTGAACACTTGTTGAATAATAAATAACTAAACCATTTATTTTTACGTTATCCTTTCTTTTTAAAGGTAAGGAAAAAAGTAGATTTGCTTTATAGTTTATTGAATTCTTATTCATCCTTTTTTTTTCGATAGTGATCAGATCAGATACCTACCTATAAGTAGTCTTTAGGTAGGTATTATTGTTACAGAATAATTATTAGGTAATCATAATAAAGTATATCATACGCGGTAATAGTGTGAGCCCGACAACAGTGTGATTTTAGAATTATTTCCAAGTTCTGCTGCGTTTATGTAAAGACTGATAACCGGATACGATACAAGTGGACCTTCGTAAGTGAAGACAGAAAACACAAAAAGTCTTTCTGATTCCCAATTCCCAATTTCCACACCACCGTTGAGTGGTGTGGAAACGACTACAAGCTGTCGCTACTGTATTTTATTGGTTGGAACTTGGAACATAGAACTTAAATTGCATGAAATAGGTATACCTAATTGGTATACTCTAATGATACTTTTATAATAAATCAATTAGATAGGCCTTTATAACATGAGTTGAAGATCATTGACTAAAAAAAGCAAAAATGGAGTTTGCGTGACGTTCGCCGACGTGCTACCGTTGTGGCTATAAAAGGTGGCAAAAACGTAGAAAGTGCATAGGGCATAATTAGTAGACAAATTTCTGGCCTTCAATTTAGCAAATTAATTTTAGCGATAAAATGTATCGGTGACGAGATAAATGGAATAAAACTGGAATCCGCTACTATAAATTGCTGAGCTTTATTGGGACGCCACGCCACTGTAGCGTAACGATTGCAAATATTAAAAAATGCATCAAGACATTATTTGTAGAGCATGGTCTTCAATTTTGTATAAATTTCCTTCCTATACTATGCATAGGTAACGAAATAATCGCAAAAGAGTGGTTGCGTCAACTGCCATAAAGAGCAGGGGTAGTTTCCGGGGGAATGTCGCAGTAAGTAGATATATTTTTAGAAAACTTATTTAGTTCGCTACTGTCCTATGTGAAACAAAAAGCAAAAAAAAAACAAATTCTTTACCTTTTTAATATTTTTTTTTTCATCTAAAGGGGTTGTACTAGAAAAATGCTTTCGGTGTCTATGCATGTGTGTCGGAGATATGCACAAAATAATATTTGAACCATTCACATGGAGGGCATTTGTGTCTGAGAAAATTTAAAAAGGGCAATTTTTTTTTCAAATTTTATTTTTTTGGGGGTGATTCCAGGTAAAAAATGGGGGTGCATTAAATGAATTTTTAAATATCATTCCCTACATTACTAATTCCTGAAAATTTGAACAGCCTAGCATTGGCCCTTCAGATGATACGAACGGGGGTTGTTTAAATTTCGACACCCGCCTGTATATCTAAAAGGGGTAAATGTTTTTAAATAAAACCTATACCAAAAAAAACGGCCAATTATTTATGAGTAGTTGCTGCATAGTTCGTGGTAAATTCGCTTTACTGTTCAGTCAGAAAAAAAAAACCCAAAACATATTTTCTCAAGGTCATTCAACTTTAGAGCCCCACTCTGGCTAAAGGTGTGATAGACAAATGCCGTCGCTGGAAAATTTGTAGAGCATTCAGTCCTCTTCAATTTACTATGAAGGTATTTTGTTGTTACACGTAGCGGAAGCGGTAGGTTTCGGAAAAACTATAAAAAAAACGACCTTTAAGGGAATGAAAGGGGATATTCCAAGGGAAATTTTGCTGGAAAAAGTTAGACCCATAATAAGCAGCCTTTCTCCTACCAGAAAAAAAAATAAAACAGAACTTGTGTCGAGTTTGCGAGGTTCAACCTCTCTTTCCTGGCCTAAAAGTCGAAAAGCCAACCGCACATCCTATCAAAAAACTCATTTGAGTAAATGGGAAAAAAAAACTTATCCTTTATAATAATAAATTAGATTTTTCAACACTAAAGGGAAGCATGATAGAGAATCGAGAATCGGATGCTTTTTTCATCTGCAAATTTTCATTGATCGTTACAAGACCTTATCAAATAACAATCAACCAAAAAAAATTACGAGTTCAAAAATAGGTACTACCAAAAAAACATTCATAGGTCACACAAAAATACTCACGTCCATATCAACGCCAAAAAATAAACTAAAATGATATAGCCTACACATGCGTTCAAGGACCAGAAATAATGCAAAACATTCATCAACAGCCACAAAATTCAATAAAAATCTCCAATTATTTTAAAATACCTATAGAAACCAATGAAACGGTACCGTCAGAGACACCTCTCCAACCGCCTAGAACCACTTTTTCAAACAACTATATATCCCTTAGAAAACTTTTTTCTCAAAAAATTATTTAGACTAATGCAGTTTATCATAAAAACATGCATGATGGTAGGTATCAAATCAATTATTGGTGAAATGAGTCGCGAGAAGCTAGCTTATTGTCACTAAAATTATTCTTTGAATTTAAAATTTCATTTTTGGCATTATTATCTCCAAGACTTCCAAAATTACTAGGAAAGGACTGAAATAGGCTTGTCTCTAAAAACCAATTCAATAAATTATTTTAATGTAAATCAAATCAAAAAATATTTATTGCAAAGTGAAAAAAATACAAATAAACATTTGGTATGCCCTGCTTAAAAGTTTTGCAACTTGACTGCAAGTGTTAATAATAAAATAAACCAAGATGATTAATATTTTCATGGTAGTATGTAGTAGGTAGTTTGCAATAGAATAATGTACTTTAAAATAATATAGTAAAAGCAAAAGCCGTTCACACGTTAAAAAAAAGAAAAATCATTTAGGCAATATCTAGTAGTAGAATTTTTAAGGAACGAATAAAATTTAAATTAAAATTAAAACCAGCTTATTGGACATTACTGACAAACAAAATGTGAACGATAAAAATAATTAGGTATATGTAGACAATTAAAATTAAGGCAAGTAACATTTGTGTTTTAGTAGGAGTACGTAGGTTATAAAACACAACAAAACAGCGAGGATAAGTAAAAACTTCCAATTATTATAGTGACTAGGTATGAAAGGCTGTAAGATATGGATTTTTCCACAACAACATCACAGCCATCCAAATTAGACAGCTGAACCAATCTCTATAATTTTATTAATTTCATCTGTATTGAGGTTTAAAAGCCAATTCTAAATTTGTTTCTTCCGATTCCTGCTTGTGCTGTTTTTGACGTAATCTGGAGAAATATTGTAAAATCTAGGGGCCTATGGGCGAGGTATGTGTGACATTTTGTCCCTTTTGTTTGAACTGCTCGTGTATTACTTAGTGAAGCCTAGTACTCATAACTGTGAAATTCGCATTTTTTTGACTGCGTTGACAATTTGACGTTTTATGCGTGTATCAAACGTCAAATTGTCGAAGCAATGTCAAAAAAATGCGAATTTCGCAGTTATGAGTACTAGGCTTAAGTTGGTTTTTATTTTGAGTTTGATAATTATGTTTAGTTAGTTGTGGTTGATGGCGATTTTGCTCTCGACACTAGAAAAGCGTACCTATATCCTTTTTAAAAACAGTTTTAAGTATAGTTTTTGAATGCTTTCAAGTGGTTCTATTATTGTTTTTGAGGCTGAACCCCAAGAAAGTATACCGTATTTGATAATCGATTTTGTTAGTCCATTATAGATTATAATTTGTTGTTTTTGACTCAAAAAATTACTTGTCTTATTGAATGCTGACAGAACATATCTACACTTTCGTAGGATGGAGTGAATATGTTTTTGCCATGTTAAGTGCGGATCTAGAAAAACACCGAGATATTTTGTCGAGTCTGTTCTTTGCATTCCTAAACCACTGTTTTTTATTTTAATTTTAGTGAATGTTGGGAGGGTATTTTGGTATGAGTTGAAGAGCATACATTTAGTTTTTTCCGAATTCATTGTTGAATAGTTATTGTCAAACCAGACTTTGACTTTGTCCAGGCATTCTGAAGCATTATCTTGAACTTCCCCCCAAGTATCACCAGTAATTAGTCCAGCGTCATCCGCGAAGGCCACAAGTTCAAGCGGGAGTTCTAATCTAAGTCGTTGAGATAGATGAATGAATAGTATTGGCGCAATGACCGTTCCCTGGGGCAAACCCCAAGATACAGATCTGCTCTCACTTTTTACCTCACCTATGGTAACGCTCTGCTCACGGTCAGTGAAGTAATCTTGCATTAATGCTTATGGTATTCCACGAAAGCCAATACCATTTAATTTTTCTAGAAATAGTATCAAAAGGATTTTTCAATAATTTTTGATAGCCTAGAAATTAAAGACGTAGGTCTATAATTTTTTAGCAATATCATTCCATTGCATCCTTTAGGCTCTGAAAAAAATATATTAAACTCATCAGCGATCGTTTTTTTATCATTGCTTGTTGGCTTTTGCCATGTCTGGTCTTTATTGTTATATTTTCTATG